CCAGGTTACAGAGTAATCTTTTCTAATCTTTATAAAGCAATACTAAATTACGGAGCTGGAAATAAACTGGAGACGATTCTATGTAATACATTTAGTTTTTATTACCGAGCGACACTTATGACTCCAGTAAGTCTTTATCAAGAGACATAAAATATAGAATATGATAGAGCAATGTACAATGTATGTAAAAACTAAATTTACTGAATTACAGACCTACAAATACACTGGAGACGATTCTATGTAATACATTCATCTTTTATTACTGAGTGACAATTTGACTACAGATAAGCTTCTCAAGTCTTTATCAAGCGACATAAAATATAGAATATGATAGAACATTGTACAATGTATATGTATGTATGTAAAAAAAATAATACTCAATTACGGACCTGCAAATACACTGAAGACAATTCTATGGAACACATTTATTTTTTATTACTGAGCGACAATTTGACTCCACTAAGTCTTTATCAGAGACGTAAAATATAGAATATATAATGGACCATTGTAGAATGTATGTAAAAAGCATTACTAATTAATGAGCACGAAATACACAGGAGATAGTTGTATGGAGCGACTTAACTTCTCTAATCTTGTATGTCTAGAATATAATAATAAAAAGTAAATGTAAATAGAAATACACTGGAGACAACTTTATGGAAATGATTAATGTTTATTACTGACGTTTTGACTAAGATTCTCTAGGCATTATCAAGCTAATGATATGAAATATTGGACATTATGTCCATGTAAAAAAAAACAATACTTAGTTAATGATGACTTATGAAAGACATGCGATAAATTGACCAGGAGAAGTAAATTAATTAGTGTAAGAAATATTATTAAATTGATGATGGTTGATTACGGTGATGTGATATTATTGACCTAACCTGTTGATTACGGTGATGTACTGTTATTGACCGAACATATCATGATAAATCTAATCACCGTTAGTATATTATCAATATGATGATTGATAATTTATTTACGACATGTCAACTATTGATATCTCTGTATCTATCAATCAATCACAGATCATGTATCAATAAACTTGTTTACGAAAGATTGACAGACGATATTTGTGCGTGTGTGTGGGGGGGGTAATTTATAAGGTCTAGCATTGAGTCAAATATGGTGGTTTCGATCCTGTATGTGACAAGGATTATTGTTGCCTGCCCAACCTTGTGGGTTTCCTCCGGGTCCTCTGGTTTCCTCACACTGCTAAATGACTAGTTTGCATTGAGTGAAAATTCAACTCTCTCTCTCTCTCTCTCTAAATATAGATATAGATTATTTTGTACTTTATAAGATAAACTTGTATTTATAGGGTCATTAGGTGTTCAGTAGTAGTAGTACCATTTGCCATCTCCATTTTCTATTACTTCAGTCTTTCCAGTTCTGGTCAGTTACCATAGCAACACATATAAAGAATAAACAGGATTATTTTTATGGTTGGAGAAATGAACTGTAGGCATGTAATCCTAACTGGCCACCTAGTCTTTAATTACTGTATCAATCAAAAACTAGAAATAAATCCCAGTTAATTGAGTCTCCGTTTCCCCGAACGACCAGTCATCTTATATCAGTTTCAATTGTAATCTTGTAAAGTATCCCAGATAAATGACAACAAACGTTTCTAGATACAAAATATATCAATCATTTACATGGCAGGTCAGATGTAAATTGATCCTGATCCAATCTGGTTAAAACACAGATCCTATTTCGTTTCGTTTTTATAGTTCAAAATTTCGTTTTACTTGTCTTTACTACACTTGGATCTGGAAGAGTTGTTATTTAACTCGTGTTCTGAATGGTGTCAGGGATAAGCCAATGAAACGGTCTGTCACGGCGAGCTTTTGGCATGTTTTGCACTGAACTGTGGGTAATCCACTAGTAACATCAATGCTGATTGGTTAATCAAATGTCTGACATCATCGGGTCATAAGTCGGTCTTTTGACCCCTGACGTGACCTATTGCTATAACTTGTCAGATCTTCATGTAGTGTAGGCAATCGAAAGTATAAAAAAACGAAACAAAATATAGATCTGTATTTTCATCAGATTGATTCTGATTGGTTTGGAACTTGTTTTTTGGATGTCTGAGAATCATGTAATATGGGTCAAATTGTGATTTGTTGAATAAGAATTTAAAATGTTTGAATATTGAAATTTTTGTATTTTACTGGTACATTTCAGTGGGGGTTAACCAGTGTATCATTTGATATTTTCCAAAAACTAAAAATCATAATCATAATGTATCCCATGTCCTCTCTACTGTTCCATCATGCTGTCGTATATTGATCAAATTAAATAAAACTGGTTGATTTTACTGGACAACCAATTGTCAAGTTTATTTATGATAAAAGCAACCAGTTGTCAAGTTTATTTTACTGGGACTATAATCAAAACAACCAATTGCCAATTTTATTTTACTGTGTTTATGATAAAAACAACCAATTGTCAAGTTCATTTTACTGTGTTTATGATAAAAACAACCAATTGCCAAGTTCATTTTACCTGGAATTATGATAAAAACAACCAATTGTCAAGTTCATTTTACTTGGATTATGATAAAAACAACCAATTGTCAAGTTCATTTTCCTGGGTTTATGATAAAAACAACCAATTGTCAAGTTCATTTTACTTGGACTATGATAAAAACAACTAATTGTCAAGTTCATTTTACTTGGATTACGATAAAAACAACCAATTGTTCATTTATGATAAAAACAACCAATTGTCAAGTTCATTTTACTTGAATTATGATAAAACAACCACTTGTCAAGTTCATTTATGATAAAAACAACCAATTGTCAAGTTGATTTTACTGGAATTGTCAAGTTTTAAGATTAAATTACCATCATTTGATAGTCCTATGTTATCTGAGAGTTATTTCCAGTACAGATCTGGACTGTTGAAACTGATATAAACCAGCGTTAAACATGCACAACTTGACAACAAAATCAATTAATCAATGGGAACCAGATATCAATGAGCTTCTAAATTTACACTGAAATGGTTGCCTTACTACGATCTTTGATCAACTGAAAACTATTCTCTACATGTTACAAATTCTTAATATGACTCAAGAAATTCTTGTCACATGACTTCATAGCTGATATTCAAACAGTATTAAGAGGCTTAATGGGAGTTTTGGTTTTAAAATGGTGCTGAGTGAAATCTCATTAACAGTATAGGACGTATTTGGTAGAATGGATATTTAAAAATGAAATAAAATGGAGTTTAACGTCCCACATTTACGGGTAAGGGACAATTCGTCCCAGGACAACTTGTCACCTGACAACTCGTCCCCGGACAATTCTTCACCGGATAATTCGTTCCCAGACAATTTGTCCCTGAGGACAATGGACAATTTGGCTCCATTATTGGGGACAAATAGCTCGGGACGAATTGTCCATGGGGACAATTAAATATGAAAAACAATGTTGTGCACCTATTTTTCTTAGGTGCGTGAATTTGAAACAGTTACGGGTCATCTATAGTCGGCACACATTCCTTCTATCGTATTACGACAACATGTAATTTTGTAGGAATATTACTGACATCAATTTGAATACCATACAGGGATTAAATATGAAAAATAACGAGGTGCAACTATTTTTTTATTACGTACGAATTTGAATATTTTGTTGACTTGTGATATTTAATTGTGGTCAGAAACTACCTGCTAAAATAATCAGTTATGCCCATTTTATGCCCATTTATTTTCGGTAAAAATATCTAACAAGAAAAATTTTGAAATCTCAACACTGGTTTAAAGTATAAAACTTACCTGACGATAGGAATTGTTTTAAGAGGTATTCTTCATCGTCATGTTCTAACGCGTCTGCTTTCTTCATTCTCTGTGCAGCAATTAAATGAAAAGATTTGAGTGGTTAATGATATCATATTCCTACAGATCAGTAACATATCAACGTGGATCAATTGAGTTTTATATCAACGACTATTTTTATCTCCAATAATAATATATATCCATGTACAAAATAGCCCATTATTTGGTAATACGTCGACTAGATAAACCGTTGTTTTGTAGTATGATACGTATGATTGAACCAATTAGGTAGGAAGACCAATCAGTTGTCATCTGTTTTTGCGTAGGTACAACATGTTTCCAGAAAATGTAAGACGTAAGATATGTTTTTAGTCGATAATGAACGCCATAATATGCTTCTGATCATGAATTTGGCATGTATAAACGTCTTGTTTTTTGTAATCAAGATTTAATTCAGTGACTGTGAAGATGTCACAAAGATAGTATAAAATATTGTAACGGATATGCGACACAAATTAAGAACAGGTATTTGTTTTACTGTAAATCTTGAAGTTAATTGCGACACTATTTAAATACAGCTATTTGTGTTAAAGTTGTACTGGAACTATTAAAAAAAATTGGGATTTCTAGAACTGTTCAAATCAAATGGGATTTCTAGAACTATTCAAATACATTGTTTGTGTAATTAGAGACATTGAAACACGTTATGTTAAATGGAACGTTTGAAACACATTTTTTTTTCCCTTGGTCCATGGATTGCAATGGAAACATTGAAATACAGTGTGATCCATGGAACATTGAAATACAGTGTGATCCATGGAAACATTGAAATACAGTGTGATCCATGGAACATTGAAATACAGTGTGATCCATGGAAACAATGAAATACACTGTGATCCATGGAACCATTGAAATGCAGTGTGATCCATGGAAACAATGAAATACACTGTGATCCATGGAACATAGTGTTGACTGAAAGCATGGAAGCACATTGTGTTGACTGGAACCATTGAAGCACATTGTCATTGGTGATTCCAGGAACAGTCGAAATACATTGTTTTGCATGGAACAATTGAAACAAAGAGTTTTGTTTCATAGAACGAAAATTGTGGGTTAAACTACGTTACCAGTTTATTTTATGACTTTTATATTGATACTATTTAAAATAGCCATTTATTTATATGTTATTGTTATTTTTTTTTTCCAGGAAGCCCCCACGAAAGTCCAAGAAACTTGTCACCTAGTCAACATGGAAATTTCGCATTTCAAGCCATCAAAAAGTAAGTCACAGATTTAAAATAATCTTTGAATGGATAAACCTAAAGTTCAGTACAAGTACAAATTAAACGTTTTTTGGTGATTGTAGATGATTTTTACCAATTTTTAAACAAAGATTTCATATATAATAAATGTTAAAGAGATTAGATTTAAATACACAACGTTAAATGAAACCCGGTCTACATTGTTACCTAGGTTACAGTGTTACCTGGTCTACAGTGTTACCTAGGTTACAGTATCACCTAGGTTACAGTTTTACCTAGGTTACAGTGAGCTAGTACTTGACATTTTGAACCTCTATGTCAGACGTATAAATAATATCAATAAAAACACAGAAAAAAACAAAGAAATCTGTACCCACAAAATAACAGACACTTAAAGGATTGAGCCTGACAAATTGTGGTGCTCTGTCTCCCTCCCCACTCTCTCTCTTTACCCTCTCTCTCTCTCCCTATTCTTTCTCTCCGACCCTTATTCCTAATAGACTGTGTTTATATATTTTCAGGTGTGATGGAAGAAGATGGTCGTTTGCGTCGTTACCTTCGTCAGGTTACGGTACCAATACTCCAGGTAGCTCTAATGTTTCGGTAAGTACCACTGCTCTACCTTAGTTTTGTCATCATTCTGTAACACACATAAATATTCAATTACGTCATCAATAGAATTGAATTATGTTGGACTGTTTGTTAAAATTATGTAAGCATTAATATTAATTTGGTGAGCCACGGTGGCTAAGAGGGTAAGACGCTGGCTCGCTGGCCTGGAAATCACATTTCCGATCCTTACATTGGCTGAGAATTTCATCAGGATTTTCCAACGTGGTGGTGCAGGAATGAGGGCCTGACAAAGACAGCTGTTAAGTCATTCAGATGGGATGAAAAACCAAGGTCCTGTGTGTACATTGGCGTGCACGTAAAAGATCCCTTGGCAAAATTTCCCTAGCACACTATATGGCGTATGCCCGTCTTCATTAGCCCAGTCAGAGCAGACAAGTATGACATTAAACCCCATTTCATTTCATTTCATTTTAAAGTATGTGACAGTAGAAACCCAATAGTTTTCTATGATTCTTAACCGATTTGAACCATTTTCCAATAATGGTTTGAAACTAAACTTTGAATACAGAAACTCCTGCTAAAACAGCACAATTACATGAAACCTGAGTTGTGTATGATATTGTGAGAGAGTTAATGAACAAGGTTCTATATCTAGTCTCCTACGTGAATACACATGATTACAAGACGACATGACTAAATGGAATATTGTATATGATCTATGAAGGATATGATCAATGACGCGGAAACTAATGTCGAGATAATACTACCTGCAGGGATAATACACGGAACTGTCTTGGTATTACTTTGTGATTTGACATTTGACTTCAAGGCTTTTTAAACATGGTTGACATTTCGTCCAGCCAACTACAATTATCATCTTCATATAATATCACCCACCTTGATGACTATATGACATCTTATACAATATCACCAACCTCCACGATTATACGTTAAAATGGCCAGACGAATTTATACGTTTTCTTCATTAAATAACCCACTCAATTCTTGTGTACGAGAGAGAGAAATGGGGTTTAACGTCCACTCGACACAAACTAGGTCATTTCGGGACTAACACATGATTTTATTTTATTTTAATAATTCGATTGCGCGTAGGGGTCTTTAGCAGTGGGAGGAAACCGGAGGACCCGGAGAAAACCCACGAGGGTGGACAGGTCACCCAACTCCTTGTCACGTACAACCGGGGAATCGAAACCCCGCCAGTTGACTCAATGACAGACCGTATGATACAGCGCGCGCATGCTAACCATTCGGCCATCCACCCCCCTCTCTTGTGTACGATGTTTTGTATAAAATTTCAAAACTTAAATATAAGGGGTATGGAACTAATAGTGTGAGAAATGGGGTTTAACGTCGACTTGACACAAACTAGGTAGTTTTGGGACTAACATATGGTTCAGTTTTATTTCAATAATTTGCTTGCACATATGGGTCTTTAGCTGTGGGAAGAAACCAGAAAACTCAGAGAAAACCCATGAGGCGTGTCATGTATAAGTGGGGAATCAAAACAAAGCCACTTGATTTATTGACAGACCTTATGATTCAACGTGCACACACATTAAACCCCTCATGGAACTAAAAGATTTTGAACAGTGCAACCAAGTACTTTAGATTTTTATATTAGTCTTTTTCCGTCAAAGATAATAAGAACCCAAATTTTAATAAGAAAGAAAAACTAAATACTTTGAACTTGTCAACCGCAATTACTTTTAAGTTTCTGAAATAGGTTTCCCGCCTCCTCCCCCCCCGCCCTCCCTGTAGAAAATGAGAAGCAAAATTTTAACAGGTTGTTCACAAAAAAACAGAAAACTAATATCTTTTGAACAAGCCAACCAAGAATTTTTGGTTTTTAAATTACTCTTTTTCCTTTTAAAGTTTAAAGATGATAACCTCCGGTTATTGAAATAAAATTGAACCATGTGTTAGTTCCGAAATGACCCAGTTTGTGTTAAGAGGATGTTAAAACCCATTTTTTTTTCTCTCTCTCTCTCTCTCTCTCTCTCTCTCTCTCTCTCTCTCAGATAAGAACCAAAATTGGACAAGTTTTCCCCCGAAGAACAGAAGATCTATTTATTGTAGCCTAAGATGCTATTAGCAGACATCTAGCTACTAGATATGAGGGAATAACATCTATTTGTTGCTATTAATGGCCTATGATAGCCTTGGGCAAGGATTTGAAAGTGAATACCTATTCACCAGTAATTGGTTATAGTCTTGTCAACCAGTATTTAATTATTCCGTCTCATTATGAACTGTTGATCACGTCACAGCTGCTCCCTCCTGCTCCCTCGTGTTAAACACGCTACAGAACATCATCTTAAAACTATTTTAGTAGTTCGTGAACTACCGAACATTAACAGGAGTACATTTCCGCAGTTTTGTATTGTTTCTGAATATCCCCTACTTTTTTTTAAGAGTATAATATTTTACTGGTCGGCGAGCAAGCGGCTTACTCACTCTGTCCATTGTCTACAATTTCAATTTCTTGTGAACACGCTACAGATTACATTTATCATCTGATTGTTTTAAAATTAATATATGTTGTTTACATAGTGAGATGAAGAAGCCTTTTTAATTTCCGTTAATTTCTTCTGGAGTTATGGCCCTTGTTTCACTTTGTTGCACCTTGTGATCACTGTAATGAAAAAAGTTATCATCTGATCTGTATGAAATTTATATTCATCATTTAGATTAGCGAAACAAAGAAGCCTATTGAATTGAAGCAATTTCTGCTAATTTTAGTTATGGCCTTTGTTTCACTTTTTTGGGGCCTTGTGAACGATCGAATGACAAAAGTTATCATCCGATCTATATGAAATTTTTATGCATAATTTGAATTAGTGAAACAAAGAAGCCTATTAAATTTCAGTAATTTCTGTTAATTTACTTATAGAATTATGGTCTTGTTTTACTTCAACAGAGGTAAGGCCTTTGAACCTTGTGAATCCTCCAAGGGGGGGGGAGGGGATGGCCGAATGGTTAGCAATGAAATGAAATGAAATGTGGTTGAACGTCCTACTGTTCTGCTCCTAAACTGGGCTAATGAAGACGGGCATACGCCATACAGTGTGCTATGAGGGAAATTTAGCCAGGGCAGCTGTGCTACGGCCTACTCTTATTTCGAATTCCAACTGTTAAGGGATCATTTACGTGCACGCCAATATGTACACAGGACCTCGTTTTTTTGTGCCATCCGAATGACTAGACAGCTGTTCTTGTCAGGTCCTGCATCACTGACAAGGGGAAATCCTGCCAGAAAATCTGGATGACGAAATCACATGCACGCTTTATCATAAGGTCTGTCATTGTGTCAACTGGCGTGATTTCAATTCCCTAGTTGTACGTGACAAGGAGTAGGGTCGCCTGTCCAACCTCTTGGGTTTTCTCCGGATCCTCCGGTTTCCTCCCACTGCTAAAGACCCCCATGCCCAAGCAAATTATTGAAATAAAATTGAACCATATGTTAGTCCCAAAATGGCCGTTTAACCCCATTTCTCTCTCTCTCTCTCACAAAAGATTAAATATGTGACTGCTTGCACGATTTATCTGCTATGGATGTATGTTTTGTTGCCTGGCAACCAATCTTTGATGTAAATAATGGCTCAGATTTGATCTGAAACTAATCTTATTTACTTAGTGGCTTACTGCAAGATTTATCACAGTCTATCTGGGAAAAAACAGTTAATGTTATAGATAAAGTCTGAGATTTGATCTCTAGCTACAAAATGTATGATAGTTTACTTAAAAGTAGCCAATCCAAATCGTGCATTTAACCAGACAGGGCCCAGTTTCTCAAAATTTTAAATAAAGATAAAATCCAAATTTTAGTAGATAATTCAATTTTGATTGGCTAAGCACTAAAATCAATCTTAATATTATCCAATCAAATTACTTTTAATTGCTAAAATGTACTCAGAATTAAGAAAACAAGCCAAGAGCTTAATGTCCCCTGCCGCAATCCCAAATACGACTCATATTGATTAGATCTTTATATTTTTGAAAAGTATCTAGCAATCAAACTTATTATCTACCGTATACTTAGTCAAAACAGAAACTGTTCACAATCGAACTCAAAGTTTTGAAGTGCCTGGTAGTCACTCCCTCCATCAATTTGAATCAAAGTTATCTTGTCCCAAAGCATCGTGCAATGAAGTTGCTTAGCTCTTCTTATTATTAGCGGCAAATGTTAATCATTGAACTCAGTCAAGACATTCACCAATTTTAAACATTCTACCTCAATTAAATGCAGAGTTGTTATGTTCCAAAGTCTTGACCAATCAAATTGCTTATCGCTACTTAAACTAAGCAGAAAATTCTCATCATCGAATTTAGTCAAGGTATTGATATAATAAATGTATACTCTGAGTTTCATCTCTCTCAGCCAATTAGAACCAAAGTTGTCGTGTTGCAAAGTCTCAACCAATCAAATTGCTTATCTTTGCTTAGCCTTAGCGGAAAGTTTTCATGGTCAAACACTGTCAAGGCATTCACCCAAGAAACACCTACAGGCTTTATGTTATTGTGTTCCAAATTCTCGACCAATCAGATTGAAGTAATTACTTAGCCGAAACAGAAAATACTCATCATCGAACTTAGTCAAGGTATTGACGTAATCAAATTCCTTATCTGTGCTTAGCCTAAGCAGAAATGGCTCATCTTCAAACCCCTTATCAAGGCATTCACCTAATAAACACGTACACAAAGTTTGAACATTCTAGGTCAATTAGGAGGGGAGTTATTGTATCCCAAAAAGTGTGACAGACAGACATACAGATGTCCAGACCGATTTTAATAATCCCCGGCTTTCTCCTGCACTACCGGGGATTGTAAGTTACACAACATTTTTAATATAAAAAAAAAGTGTAATGCCTTCAACACTGATGTAGGCCGCATCGCAGGATTCTGACCTTCTTTCTATCCGTATATTTTATTAGTTCAGCTCAGAATGTAGGTCTCATTCACTGTAAAACTTGTATCGTTTAATAAGGGGTTTTTAGCGCTAAAAACTATGCATATAGTTTAATTTCAAAACATCGTTTGATATCGATAAAAATCGTTTGGAAATTACAAAAATCGTTTAATTAGTACTATAGTTTAATTTAATGGTACACTGTTTAATTTCTCCGAGAGGTGTTTAGAAATGGCCGAAGCGTTGACTTATCTAATGCGTTTATTTATTAGACGAGCAGTCCAATTTCCCGAGAGGCGTTTAAAAATCAACACCTGTTAATTTATCTACTATGTTTAACTATTAGATGAATCGTTTATTTTCCCGCGAGCTGTTTATCCGATCGGTTGGTTTTGATTACGATTAATTGCATATGAAGTGCGAATAAAAATGGTGAATATAAAAAAAAGCAAACCCATAGATGCTCGCATTACCGTGGTTGTAGTATTATTATCCATTATCCATTCAAAATAGTAATTCCGCTATTGACAAATACATCAAAAATCGGTAAATCACGTCCGAGGTAATTATACATTTGGTGAATATAAAAAAAAAACATATTTCACAATATACTTGGCTAATCTGGAAACAAATCATTCACACTACTAAAGACCTATACACACCGTTTTTCATCAAACCATCTGCAAAAACTGTAAATAAACGGTCTAATTGACAGACCAAGGAGGTCAATTGCGTACTGAAGTTTTTAATCTATTGGGATTTTCAATAATGTGATCTCTAACCCTAACCCTTGGCCAATGAAGAACAGACCAGGGAGCAGCTGATTGTAATCCGCTACAATCGCTTGATGTTTGAAAAGGCTGATTGATAAAATAATGAACCAACGACTAATATCATAAATCAATCTACTTTTGGCTCAGTTTCAAAGAATTAATTATGACTTGTTGATTAATATTCTTAATAACAAGTTCATCAGCTTGTCGGCTACAATCCTTAACTATCACTATACGACTGGTACCGTGGAATCTCGGGTAAATAGCGTTATTATCTAATCTATGTAGAATTATTCATAAATATCATTGAATTCGGCCTAATAGCATTCAATTTGTCCTTGTATACAACTTAAATCTCAACGTGCAATTTTGATTACCAAGCGTTAATTGACTAGTGTTTAGTTCAATAATTAGTTGGACCGTTCAATTTCCCGAGTTGTGATTAAAATTAGTCAAGGTGTCCAATTACGCCAGGTATTCAATTCTGTTGCCGATCATCCAATTTCACATGCGTTGTTCGATTTTAACGAAATGTTTATATTGAAGGAGTTGTAATATAGTAATGCTGCCGTGAAAACGTGTACATGTATAATGTACAGGCCGGTTTAAATAACAACAAAATGCGTTCGGTAATCTCGGGAAAACATTTACCGGCATTCTGTATCGGTTAGGATTTTTTTCTAACGCACTGTACATGCATATAACATCGGCCAAAATGTATGCAACAATGAACAACTTACAATTTTTTTACAACGTATCATTACATCTTCGTCTATAACTTAGATGTAATCCATCAATTATTGGCTGCTATAAAATCCAAACTTTAAATTATATACGTCATACGATGAGCTTGCAGCTTCAGTTAATCTAAATCAATCATTCATAGAGCCCCAACCTCAAATTCCCCAACCTCAAATTCCCCTGTATATATCCAAAGACTCCCCCCACTTTCAGACCGCAAGTTATTCCGGGCATAGAATATACCCCAAAGATCAAAGAGATTTACCGTTTATAATATATCTGATTATATTGTTGGAAAAGTATGAATTTCCAAACCATGTAGCATATACGCACTACAACTATAGATTCACTAATTCTGTTTTCACTCATTTAAAAATTTAATTAATTTAAATAATTTGTGTTTACTGTTTCAGTCCCGTTATTCTTCTCATGAAAAATTGCATCAGTTCCCATCAGCCCCTACTGCCGAAGAACTGGTTTATTTATCCAGTCATTTTGACGATGACCAGATGACCGGAGCAGAAGATGACGGGAGGTCGTCTCCCTTGATGAGACCGAGGTCTCGCAGTTTAAGGTAATTATGACACCGTATTATTAATGTATGGCTCCACCTAGTAATAATAAGAAATATTGGCATATTTCATTGGTCTTGAATATAGATTAGATGTCATGATGGTCGCCATGGTTTCACCTTGTCAGTTGTGCAGGACAAAATTTAAAGACCTGACAAGGAACAACGTCCCTTCGTTTGTATGTACAGATTGGCGTACTCGTAAAAAAATCATGACAAAATTGAAATAAGAGTTAGCTATACAGTTGTCCAGACAAAATTCATTAGTCTGCTGAATCATGTAGGAAAGTAGGATGTTAAACCCCATATCTAAATATTCATCGGTTTTAGACATTTATCCACTTCTTCAAATGAATAGGGAGCAGTAGGACGTTAAACCCCATTTCATTTCAAATAAATAGAAAAAGTGCATGGCTTTAAAAATGATTGTTTTATAGATAATTTTTTTTTTAACGCTATGCTTTAATTCTACTAATTTTAATAATTGTTCTTTTTTTAAATTTTGGTCTATAAATGAATTTGGAGATTTTTGCTTTCCAAATTCAATATTGCCTCGATTCATGTTTATTTTGATCAATTTTTTTTCTCTTTTTCTTGCTTGTGGTTAACCCAGTTTATCCTGGCTTGCGCTGGAGTAAGATTTCTTCTTAATTATATATTACATTCGTCTTAGAATCAAATAACTTAGGCATGTTTTCCATGTACTCGTTTCCACGTCTGATGGAAATGTAATGGGACCGTTTCCATGTATCCGGCGAAAACATGCCTGGAAATGTGTACATGAAAAGTGGAATCAAATAACTAAGGGTCATTTTCCATGTACACGTTTCCACAGTTTTTCAGGTCTGATGCAAATGTAAATGTGACTGTTTCCATGTATCCGGTGAATACATGCACGGAAATGCGTACATGGAAAGCGGATTTGAGTCTTAGTCTTTTGCATTTTGTCGCATTATTCAGATATTGTATCTCTAGATAATCTCACTAATAATGTTCATTGTTATTATTTATTCCACATATATAATATTGTATATATCAATTTTAAAGTAGCTAAGTCTCTAACTTGAAATCAGGGATCACGTGGCTAAGTGGGTAAGACGCTAGCTCGCTAGCCTCGAGGTAAAGAACGACCCCTACGCGCAAGCGAATTATTGAAATAAAACCATATGTTAGTCCCGAAATGACCTAGTTTGTGTCGAGTGGACGTTAAACCCCATTTCTCTCTCTCTCTCCCAGATATTAGGGATTTAGCTCCTTTAATGATTACACTTATAAAATGTTTGAATGTTGCTTGATATCACAGAAGATAAGCACGAACAATCGTTAGTTTTTTGTAACATTATATCATGTTGACACTTTAAAATTAAAGTTTAAAAGTTTGGCTTGAAATAATCCAGATTTCTGAAGACTTTACAATTCTAAAAGGATATTGAATCTTTCTGTTATCAGTGTAGCAGTAAACGGACAGTTCAATTGTAGCATTGCCATTAACAGTTTTACATTAGAAATGCCTTCATATAATCAATGGTCCATTGGTGGATATAGCATTGGAATTACTAATTAGGTTATGAATAGGATTGCCTGTCCAACCTCATGGTTTTCCTCCGGGTCCTCCGATTTCCCTCACAGCTAAAGAACCATATGTTAGTCCTGAAATGACTTAGTCTGTATTGAGTGCACGTTAAATGCCATTTCTCTCTCAGTCTACTAACCAGGTGGTCCTGGGTGTTGGTCGAGAAAGATCTTACCAGTTTCTGGGGGGGGGGGGGTGGATGGCTGAATGGTTAGCGTGTGCGCGCTGTATCATAAAGTCTGTCGTTGAGTCGACTGGCGTGGTTTTGAATCTCCGGTTGTACGTGACAAGGAGTAGGCTCGCCTGTCCAACCTCGTGGGTTTTCTCCGGGTCATCCGGTTTCCTCCCACTGCTAAAGACCCCTATGCGCAAGCGAATTATTGAAATAAAATTAAACCATATGTTAGTCCCGAAATGACCTAGTTTGTGTCGAGTGGACGTTAAACCCCATTTCTCTCTCTCTCTCTCTCTCTCTCTCTCTCTTACCAGTTTCTACCTTGTGGATGGTTGAGAAATTACCCCCAGGTTTGACCTTGGTGTTAGTCGAGAATGTTCCAAGGGATTTCACATCCTGGTTTCTCCTTGTTAGTTGTGCAGGACGGAAAGACATCTAGTTATTGGGATGGGACAAAAAAAAAACAAGGTTGTGTGTATACCATTGGCGGCATGTTAGAGTTGGAAATGAAATCAGAGTTTCCCTTGTGGCTGTCTTCATTATTTCAGTTAGTGAAGAATAGTAGTGCTTGGAATCCCAGTTCATTTCATTTACATTCAGGGTCTGGCAAGGGACAACATATAGTCGTTTTGAATAAATCTGATCTTATTGAAACAAACATTTATTGTTATGTACCGAAAGTTGTTATTGTATATTGTTTGCTAAATATTACAAAATTATTCTATATAGCTAGTGGCGTCAATGAACTACATAGTCTGGCATCGTGTCGTAGAATAATGCATGATAATCTATTAGAAACCGTGAATTATTGTAGAAAATACTCCATCATCTGTAATAGTGTTAGACAGTGTTAGACAGCTCCATACAACCTCGTGGGTTTTCTCTGAGTCCTCTGGTTTCCTCCGACTGCTAAAGACCCCAACGTGCAAGCGAATTATTGAAATAAAATTGAACCAAAATGACCTAGTTCGGGTCAAGTTGAGGTTAATCTCTCTCTCTCTCTCTCTCTCTCTCTCTCTATAATATGAATGATGACTTTCTGATGTTGATGTTAAGCATGTCAATTATGGGCTGCCTTATAAAGCTTGTGTTTGTTAATATATTTATATAATCGGCATGGTTTTATTTTTTACTGCCAATAAAATAAATATGATTTAAAATGAATAGACCTCATTGATTTCGTTAAAAAATAAAAATGTTGATTTAATTAAAATCTGTTGATTATTATTTGTATTTTTTAGATATTTATTATGTAATTTTTTGCAGCATAATCCACACTCAAATATCTCCAGATTGATCATTTAAACATATATTATGTAAAAGCTAAATCTGGCTATATTACTGGTCTTTCTTTTGGTCTGAAGTATTATATAAACTATTAATTAGACATTGATTAACTTAATTATCCAGACTAAAATCAACTCTCGATGCCATGGCCAGCTTGCGATATTTACTGGATTTGAATACATTTTGTGATGGGTGATTTAATATCAAAATGGATAATCGAGACTTTGTTGTTTATCGTACTGACTTTAGTAATAATGGTTAAGGCTAGGCCTAAAATTCAATCGCTAATATCTTGGTTGAGAGTAGAGCAATTTTCGGCATATTCTCTTTACGGTATTTATTTTTTAACTATTATAGTGAGAACTGTAATGCCCCTTTAATTGTTGTGGGCAAACAGTATGATTGGCCTGTTTTGAATCCAAGCCGAGAGATTATCTAGCGTTGGTATTTTGATTTTGTTTTCTTAATTAGACGTTAAAAAATCAATGTGAGTATATTATTAGCGAGGATCAAGCTGTGAGAAATTTGATGACGTAAATCATTACTTTGTTTTGATTTCGGTCAAAGAGATTTACCTGCTTGTTAATTACTAGTTGTTTATTTGACTATTACCTGATAATTATAATGAACGTCTATACAGGTACTAAAGTAGAGTACAGGTACTGATGGATTTGTGTAATTATATAAGGCAGTATTGTCCACATTTCTCCAATCTCGTGGGTTTTCTCATGTTTTTCCCACTGCTAAAGATGCCCACGCACAAGCAAATTATTTAAATAAAATTGAACCATATTTTAGTCCCGAAATGACCTAGTTTGTATTGAGTAGAGTAAAACCCATTCTCTCTCTCTCACGCTTGCTATACTAGTAAGAAAATAGATATTAAAAATTTCCATCAAATTACTTGAATGTAAGCTAAGTTCTGAGTGTTTGAAATCTTGACAAGATAGTCTTGATTGTCAAGGACCATTGCTACAATAATAAAGTCTTGATTATACATGTTAAATTATTAAATGGTGCACGTGTTCTTATCCATTAAATATCACGGCCATGCGATGTTCTAGAGAGTTGATTATGGCCTTGTAATGTGAATAAATGCCTAGTTAATAATAAATATAACATTTGAAGCCAGAAAATAGACCTGTAATAAAAGTCAGATTTCGCTCTTACGTAATATATCTTTAAGTCTAGTACCGCCATCTTTACCAACGTATAATATATTTTATAAAAACATTGATAAAACTAAAATTATGTGAGGGACTAGTGTAATTCTATTTTTAATTATTGGTATATGTTTTATTGTTTACAGTAGTCCAGCCAGATCACCAGGAGGAGATTCAGAAATAGTCATAATGAACAGTGTCTACAAAGAAAGATTTCCGAAGGTATGTTACGAAGTAAAGGTTATATATTATATTAACAAAAAAACAAAACAACCCGATCTGATTAAAACACAGACCCTATTTCGTTTCATATTTTATGGTTCAAAATCTCAGTTTTACTTGTCTTTACGACATTAAGATCTGGAATAGTTGTTAGATAACCCATGTTCTGGATGATGTAAGGGATTAGCCAATGAAACGGTCTGTTGCAGCGAGTTCTTGGCGTGCCGTGCAGGGAACTGTGGGTATCCCAGTAGAAACATCAACGCTGATTAGTTAGCAGCTTGTATGACCCCTGACACGACCTCCCACTATAACTGGTCAGATCTTCATGTAGTGGAGGCCATCGAGAGTATAAAGAAACAAAATAAAATATAGATCTGTATTTTAATCAGATTGAAACAAACCCAAAAAAACGATGGTCCTTTCCCATCTGCAGATTGACAATAGAAACTTGTGGCACTGCCTGGCAAAATTCTCACCATTTCATAATCGCACATAATTAGTTTTAAGTTCCCCCTCCCCCCCCCCCCCCTTTGTCAGTGATGCAGGACTGAGGGTACAAAGAACCGATGACTTCATTAGCCCAGTCGGTACAGAAAAGTAGGACGTTAAACCCCATGTCATTTAATTGAATTCGAAAAAAGAGAATCCCGTATAAAATGTTATTTATCTTATGATTGTATGATCAACTTTTGTTTGGTTGGATGGCCGAATGGTTAGCACGCGCGTGCTCTATCACAGCCCTGTCATTGAGTCATTGGTTTCGAATCCCCGGTTGTATGTGACAAGGAGTAGGGTTGCCTGTCCAACCTCGTGGGTTTTCTCCGGGTCCTTCCGTTTCCTCCCACTGCTGAAGACCCCTTTGCGCAAGCGAATTATTGAAATAAAGTTAGACCATATGTTAGTCCCGAAATGACCTAGTCTGTGTCGAGTGGCTGTTAAACCCCATTTCTGGGTCCTCCGCTTTCCTTCAACTGCTAAAGACACCTTCGCACAAGCGAATCATTGAAATAAAATTGAAACATATGCTAGTCCCGAAATGATCTCTCTCTCTCTCTCTCTCTCTCTCTCTCTCTCTCCCCCTTTAGTGTGATTAGTGTTAATGTTAAGTTTTATTATTTTCTAGGCTACAGCTCAAATGGAAGACAGGTTAAAAAAGTTTATTAGCGAACATGAGAAGTTGGACCCGTCCCAAGAAACGGATGCAGTATTATGTTTTCTACATCATCAAGTCTTAGAAATGGCACGAGATGTATTAAATAAATCCGAGGAGAAACTCATTACGACAGCGTATTTCTATGAATTAATTGATAATCTAGAAAAATTGAAACAAGATGTAAGAATTTTTCACTCATATTTTAAAATACGTTTAGGTCATTTCCTCGATATGCAGGTTCTAAAATGTATAAATATTCAGGCTGCTGGGAGAGACATTATATTTTACTTCAAGATAAAATCATTTTATAAATACACATTTTAACACTGGAGCCATTATAAATTACATGACACTCTAAATGTAGAGGGACATAATTATATAGGTGGGATGTTGCTTGGCAACAAGGGTGCACAAGGCACATCACTACAGTATGACATTCAAATTACAGTTGTAGTAACTTTCGATTTAATGACTTTTTGTTTATATTATAATGACTGTGTTTATTATTTTATGACTCTATTATAATGACTATTTGTTTATCTTATGACTATTTTTTCAGGATGTAATGACTCTGTTATAATGACTATTTATCTGATAATGACTAGTTGTTTATCTTAGAATGACTGTATTTGTTTATGATTTAATGACTCTATTATAATGACTATTTGTTTATTGTATAATGACTGTATCTATGATTTAATGACTCTATTATAATGACTATTTGTTTATTGTATAATGACTGTATTTATGATTTAATGACTATATTATAATGACTATTTGTTTATATTATAATGACTATTTGTTTTTATTATAATGACATAATGACTATTTGTTTATATTATAATGACATAATGACTATTTGTTTATATTATAATGACTAGTTGTTTATATTATAATGACTAGTTGTTTATAATAAAATGAATATATTTGTTTATCTTTTTATGACTAGTTGTTTATATTTTAATTAATATATTTGTTTATATTTTAGGCGAGAGAGAGATGTGAGCTATCATCACTAGCGTATTCATGTATTTATCCTATGATAAAACAACTGTATATTATTGTATCAAGACCAGCAAGATTACTAGAATGTCTGGTAAGACAATTTATAAAATTATTTAGTATTAAAATATTTATAATGTACATTGTTAGCTTGTGACTGTCATTAATCTGATGGTTTTTTTTTGTCTGTTCAGGTTCGGGGGGGGGGGGGGGTTGGATGACTGAATGGTTAGCACGTGCACGCTGTATCATAAGGTCTGTCCTTGAGTCAACTGGCGTGGTTTCGAATCCCTAGTTAGTTGTACATGACATGGAGTATGGTCGCCTGTCCAACCTTGTGGGTTTTCTCCGGGTACTCTGGTTTCCTACCACTGCTAAAGACCCCTACGCACAAACGAATTATTGAAATAAAATTAAACCATATGTTAGTCCGGAAATCACCTAGTTTGTGTCAAGTGGACGTTAAACCCCATCTCTCTCTCTCTCTCTCTCTCTCTGTTCGGGTTGGGCAGCCGAGGTGGCTCAGTGAGTAAGATGTTGGCTCACTAACCTGGAGGTCCCATGTTTAATTCTTGCATTGGCCGAGCATGTTCATGTGGAATTTTCTAGCATGGTTCCTCCTTAAAAACTGTTCGAATATATCACCATTACACCATAATGACTGTTGATTTAGAATTTTGTGGAAATAGGACTGAAACTGACCTATAAAATGGCTGTTCCCCATGCAAAAATAGTGTAAAAAGTATGTAATACCAAGATTGTGGTTCCTCTAGAGGTTAAAATATCTATCCAATTTTGATGAAACTTCATATCCAAAAGACCTGAGTTCCTTTACTTACGCTTATAAGGACCGCAACTTCCAGGATTATGACCCATCTCTTTCAATATGTGGGTGTATCTTGCATGGCAACCGCTTGTTGACTTTCGTTGTCCAATTAAAACTCCATGTTGACAGTGTGAAACCAGATAAATGTTTATTTGCAGGAATTTGATCCAGAAGAGTTCTATATGTTGTTAGAAGCAGCGGAAGGTCAAGCTAAACAAACCATAAAAGATGACATTCCACAGTATATTATCAGCAAATTAGGATTAAATAGAGACCCTGCTGGTACGTTTAGATTATTATAATACAGGCGTTGGTTGGCCGAATGGTTAAGATTATTATTATACAGGGTTTGGTTGGCCGAATGGTTTAGATTATTATAATACAGGTTTGGTTGGCCGAATGGTTTAGATTATTATAATACAGGGTTTGGGTGGCCGAATGGTTTAGATTTTTATAATACAGGGTTTGGGTGGCCGAATGGTTTAGATTATTATAATACAGGTTTGGGTGGCCGAATGGAGTAGATTATTATAATACAGGGTTTGGGTGGCCGAATGGAGTAGAGTCGCCTGTCCAACCTCGTTGCTTTTCTCCAGGTCCATGCAAATTATTGAAATAAAATTAACCATTTGTTAGTCCCGAAATGACCTAGTTTGTGTTGAATGAACGTTAAACCCCATTTCTCTCTCTCTCTCCATCCCTGTGGGTTTTCTAGGGTCCTCCTGTTTCCTTTCACTGTTAAAGATCCCTACCCATAAACAGATTATTGTAATGCATTGAACCATATATTAGTCCCATTTCATCCCCTATCTTCTTTAGCCAAGTCGGAGAAGAACAGTAGCCCGTTAAACCCCATTTCATTTCCGTTTCATCCCACAGCTAAATTGAACCATGTGTTAATCTTGAAATTACTAGTTTATATCGAGTGGATGTTAAACCCCATTTCTCTCTTTCACAGATATAACACATATTGAAACTATTACTGGAGATTCTTTAGATAAAGCTGAGGAAGAAGACGGAGAATCGGAGGTATTATACATGTTCCATATTAGACTAATTATTACATTCTGAGATTTTAACCGCCAGACTATATATATTCCCCGTAACAACCGTCTTTAAAGTCATTAGGGGTTAATATTGAGGTAATATTAATCTCCAATAACTACAAACTTTGAATTTCATACTAAACTTATGCTGTCTGTCATGAGAAAAGAAACTAAGCTAGTTGACCGACATTTTAATTCCTAAATCGACAGTTTTAGTTGGAACACTTAAGTATAAGTCAATAATTTTGAGAATTCTTTATTCTGGTTCCATTTATTAATGGAATTGAAAAAGATTTATATAGTCTTTGTATATATGACAGATGTGAAACGGAGTAGAACTACATTACAAAACAATATACTTAGTTTTGAATGTGGCCGCCATTCAGGGCAGAGCTCTATCCTCAAAGTACAGCCGATATTTTTCTGTGTGCAGAATGTTCAGGGCCTGACAAGGACAGCTGTCTAGTCCTTCGGATGATAAAAAAAACCCTGAGGTCCCGTGCATATCTTGGAATGCACGTAAAAGATCCCCTGGCAGTTGGAATTCGATATAAGAGTAGGCAATATTGCCGCTGCCCGGGCAAAATTTCCCTCATAGCACACTATATGGCGTATGCCCGTCTTCATTAGTCCAGTATAGGAGCAGAACAGTAGGACGTTAAACCCCATTTCATTTTTCATTTCATTGCAGAATGTTCATTGAGGATGCCCACTGAGGTTTAAAATAGATTTTCTGTTAGATATAAAATCAATAAATATGATGGCTGTATCAATTAAAGTTGCAACTCTGGAAGTAACTTGATTTTTTAAGCCAGTGATTAAATTACCTAATACATGCGTAAAATGTTACGCTGCAGCTTCAGTTAATTCAAGCTTGATGGTTTTATTTCTAATTAAAGTAATTTGTGTGGATGTTTGTGTTTCAGCATGAGAAGAGTTTCAGTAAATTCCCTAAGGGTAAAACACCGTGCAAGGAAGATTTCGAATCTATGAAATTAATCAGTAATGGTGCTTATGCGTAAGTAGAATATCAATTATCTGACACCTGGAGCCGCGATTGCTCAGTGAGGAAGTTCTTTACCCACCCAGGGGGGTTGCATGGCCGAATGGTTAACGCATGTGCATTGTATCATAAGGTCTGTCATTGAGTTAACTGGCGTGGTTTCGATTCCCTGGTTGTATGTGACAAGGAGTAGGGGTTGCTTGTCCAACCTCGTGGGTTTTCTCCGAGTCCCCCTTTTTCCTACCACTGCTAAAGACACCTACGCGGAGGCTAATTATTGAAATAAAATTGATATATGTTGTTAACATTAGTGAGATAAAGAAGCCTTTTTAATTTAAATAATTTCTGTTAATTACTTCTAAAGTTTCTAGAACCTTCTTAACCCGCAAACGATGAAAATTATAATCTGATCTGTATGAAATTGTCTTGTAAATGCCCCCAATTTTCAGAATGAAGCTAACATCTGATATCAAACAGCAAATGAGATTTTAACAGAGTTTTAATTATTTTTTTTTCTCCAGTGCTGTATATTTGGTACGACATAAACAAACACGTCAAAGATTTGCGATGAAGATGATTGGTAAACAGAATTTGATGTTACGCAATCAGCTTCAACAAGTCTTCTTAGAACGAGATATCCTCTCCTTCACGGACAATCCGTTTGTTGTCAGTATGTACTGTAGTTTTGAAACCAAGGTAATTTATTATATCATTATATCATTTGATTCTACTGTACATTTGGGTCATATCTGTCTGTTCTACTTGTGGTGGTGGGGGGGCGGAATAGATAGCAAGATCTGTCACTGGCATAGTTTCGATTCCCCGGTTGTACATGGCAAGGAGTAGGGTCGCATGCCCAACCTCGTGGGTTTTCTAAGAACCGGTTTCCTCCCACTGCCAAAGACCCCTACGTATAAACAAATTATTAAGATATAATTGAACCACATGTTAGTCCTTAAATGACCTAGTTTGTGTTGGGGGGGGGGGGTGTCTAGTGGTTTAACGTATTAGCATGAAACCATAAGGTCTGTCATTGAGTCAAGTGGTGTGGTTTCAATTCCCTGTTTGTATGTGACAAGGAGTAGGGTTGCCTTAACGATCTAGTGGGTTTTCTTCAGTTTCCTGCCGCTGTTAAAGATCACAATGTGCAAGTGAATTATTGAAATAAAATGGAACCATACGTTAGTCCCGAAATGACCTAGTGTGTGCGTGTCTCTCTCTCCCTCTCTGATATTTATCCTCAATTAGGATGTATTATTATTTCCTGAAACAACATTTGTGTTGTATTACCATTATGAAAATTTTAAAATTGAGCATATTATCTTGGCACGTACAGTAAATCAAGCTAGGGTAAATGTAATTATTAAATTTTATTTCTAGAAACATCTGTGTATGGTGATGGAATATGTTGAAGGAGGAGATTGTGCTACTCTTCTTAAAAGTGTTGGTGCTTTACCGTTAGATTTAGCTCGGTAAGTTGATTTGAGCTCAGTAAGTGTTAGTGCTTTACCGTTAAATTTAGCTCGGTAAGTTGATTTGTTGATTTGAGAGTCGCAGTGGCTCAGTGGGTAAGGCCCTTGCTTGCTAACCAGCATGTCCTGGTTGCCATCCTGGTTTTGGCGGCAAAAATTCCTCAGTATTTCCCAGCGTGGCTCCACATTTCAGTGATGCAAGATGGAGGACCTGACAAGGACAATTCCTAGTCAAACGTTCATGTTGATTTTATTTCTCCAATTTTAACTGGGGGGGTTGGATGGCTGAATGGTTAGCATGTATCATAAAGTCTGTCATTGAGTCGACTGGCGTGGTTTAGAATCCCTGGTTGTACGTGACAAGGAGTAGGGTCGCCTGTCAAACCTCGTGGGTTTTCTCCGGGTCCTCCAGTTTCCTCCCACTGCTAAAAAAACCTATGCGCAAGCGAATTATTGAAATAAAATTAAACCATATGTTAGTCCCGAAATGACCTAGTTGTGTCCAGTGGATGTTAAACCCCATTTCTCTCTCTCTCTCTCTCCAATTTTAACTTTCATGAAATTTTCGTTTACTTTGAGACCCAATGATACTTTGTGGTTTCATGTTATAAAATAATATTTATTCCATTGTGCATAATAAATTTTATTTTACTTTGAGACCTAATGATACTCTGTGGTTTCATGTTATGAAATAATATTTATTCTATTTTGTTTGAATTATTTTTAATAGGATGTATTTTGCTGAAACAGTGCTAGCGTTGGAATATTTACATAGTTATGGTATTGTTCATCGAGATCTCAAACCAGATAAGTAAGTCTCTCTTATATTTAAAAATGTGGTTGGGTGGTCAAATAGTCTTAACACATGCTGGATCATAAGGTCTGTCATTGAGTCAAGAAGTGAAATGGTTTCAATTTCCTGCCTGGAGGTCGGGTGTTCGATCCCTGCATTTGCCGAGAAAGTTCATCCAGATTTTCCGGCGTGGTTTCCCCTTGTCAGTGATGCAGGATCGAGGGTATGACAAGGACAGCTGTCTAGTCGTTCGGATGGGACTAAAAACCGAGGTCCTGTGTACATATTGGCATGCACGTAAAAGATCCCTTGGCAGTTGGAATTCGGCAAAATTTCCCTCATAGCACACTGTATGGCGTATGCCCGTCTTCATTAGCCCAGGTTAGGAGCAGAACGTAGGACGTTAAAACCCCATTTCATTTCATTTCATTTCAATTTCCTGTCCAACCTTGTGGGATTTCTCCATATGCTAGTCCCGAAATGACCTTGCTTGTGTCGAGTTGAGGTGGGGGCCTGGCAATGAAATATTGACTAGTTGTTCAGATCAGAAAAAAAACAAAAAACAAGATCCTCTACATACACTATTGATAGCAAGTGAAAGAGTAGGTCGTAACGTTTGGGCAAAATTACCGTCATAGCTCAATGCATTGCATATTCCCATCTTCATTATCCAGATCAGTGCAGAACAGACGTTAAACTCCATTTCATTTCAAGATACATTATGGGAGATTAGATAACGATTTGGCAGTTCTCACTATAATAGTTAAAAACTAGATAATGTAAAGGCAATTTGCTGAAAATTTCATTCAAATTGATCCACTATGAATTGAAAATTAAGCAATTGAAATTTCCGCCTAGCCTCGATCATCATTACTAAAGTCAGTACGATAAACAGCATAGTCTCGATTATCCATTTAATCGTTAAATCGAGAAGGAAAGTTATGCAGTAAATCAGCTCATAATCCACTAAAGATCGCAGGCTAGCGATGCCATCGAGAGTTGATTATGGCCTGGATCAGTTAATTAATGTCTAATTAATAATTTAGATAACATTTCAGGCCTAAAGAAAGACCTGCAATAGACATATTTAGCTCTTGCATAATGTAAGTTTCATTTTATTTCATTGTTGTTTTTTTCTTGTATTCTAGTTTATTGATCACAGCTTTTGGTCACATCAAGTTAACAGATTTTGGTTTATCAAAGATTGGTTTAATGAGCAGTAAGTAATCAATGTATATACAGTCCTAGGTCCATCTAGAAATCAGCCAGATTTCTTCAAGTTTAGGAATGTGACCTCAAAGATAATAGAGATCTGTTGAAGAGAATCTTGTCATCAACTTCTTAAAGATAATAAATTGTCGCCCAATTATTATCTATTTAGATGGTGCAGTGTTTAAGTGTCATATTACACTGCTCTATATTTAGAACGTACAAGCTACATGTAGATGGGTTTGAGATTTTCAATTCAAATTGAACTAAAATAAGGAAATAATAGAAAATAATCAAATTGGAAGTAGAAATAAACAAATTTAATAACAAATTAATATAATGAAAATAAAATTGATTCAAATATTACATAAAGTAATAATAAGATAGAATTAGATGTAATATCTACTGCATCTTATTTTAGCCAGGTTATACAAATATCAGGTTCTATGAGACTTTCAATTCAAATTGAAATTGAGTAGAGAAATCAATCAAATTAAATATAGAAATAAACAAATATAATAACAATTTAGTATAATAATAAAAAAAATGGATTCAAATATTACACAAAGTAATAATAATAAGCTTATATAATGAGATGTAATACATGTATGTACAGCACCTTGTCTAAGCCAGGCTATAAAATATCTTACACTATTTTACTCATATACTTTGATATTGACCAATTTGATGTTAACCAATTAAATGATTTTGGATTTTTTTCCTGGGGAGAATACTATTCATAAGTAAAACAAGCGTTGTTGAGCACATTATCCTTGTATAACTCTTGCCAGTGGCACTTTACATTCACCTATGAATATTTATTTCCATAGAAAGGGCTCAATGTCGAAATATTTACGGCCTATTGAGCCATCGTACATGTATATTATATGTGAACACAGGGTACAAATTTACAAACTTATCAATTATTATTTAAGAAAATTGGATCCAAAAATATCTTATGTTGGTTCATAGATATGAACATTTAATGATTTTTTAAATAGAGGGAGAGGTTACCAAAAACATATTTAATATACAGCGTTGCCATGCAAGAGACGCCAACATTTTGCAAGAGATGGACAGAGAACAAGCTTTAAAAAAATGTTTTTCGTACAATCAGGTATCATAATGCAGGCAGACACGGTCCGAAGTATCGACTGGATTCAAGAACTTTGGGATATAAACATATAAGCGGACAAGATAAAAACGTGATTTCTCGTACAATCGGGGGGGGGGGGGGCATAAGACAGGAAATTAGGTCTGATATGCGCGAATATCAAAAGGAACAGAGATATTTGTCGGTAATGAAACATTTATAATACACTAAAATCTGAAAGTCATAAAGGGCCATATATGTAACTCTGGCAGTAATTATCGGAATTCGGTGAAAATCAGTAGGCTTCTTCGTCTCATGACCTTAAACATGGATATAATTTAAAGTCAATCGTATATTAACTTTATCTCTAAAGGGTTCACAACCTTGTGTTACATACTTTTACGCTATATTTCAAGTTTCGTCAATATCGGATGAAAATTGTGACCTTTAGAGTGTCCTCAAAAAATTGTGCACAGACGGGTGCGACTCAATATACAAAAATTAGGATCGGAGGAATATGAGCACTTATATTAAAATAACAGCTCTTGTCTAGTATCGGTGTTCTTCCTGAAATAAAAAAAAACATGTTATGTATCAAGTTGTTTAGAAAATTGGTTTTAGTGCAGTCTCAATAGTAATAATATAATTGGCATTTTACTTTGCATCATGCTACTGTTTTCGTAGCAAGCAAACTGCAAATAATGCTTGCAGTACAAGAAGATATAAAATTGGGATAAATTGCTTACCTTGGAGTAGAAGTTTGTGGTCTTGTCTTCCGACGCCTTCCTTTTTGGGGGGTTTCATTTGGTTTGCGCTTAGAGGTTGTAGATAAGGATGTTGCAGACGAGGTTGTTGCAGATGTGGTTGTTATTGTTTGAGATAATGATTGTACCTTCTTTTTGTGTCGTCCAATTTTGTCTAAAAGTTCGAACATGGGACCTCCAGGTTAGCGAGCCAGTGTTTACCTCACTGAGCCATCATGACTCCCGAAATAAAGTTAAAACATTTTACATACAATAAATAAAGAGACTTGCCTTTAAATCAAAACAGAGTTCTAATATTGCAGTTATTAATTCAAGTGACGATTAGATGTTCGTTCGTCATTTGTTCCTGAGGTTTTACGTCCACTTCCACCAAGGATGATATTCTAGACAAGACGATTTAGACTAATACTACTACCTGGTGCTTTAACGTCTGCTTCCACAGAAGTGATGTCACAGAAGATTTGTCCGCGAATATAAAGGCTGGAATTTCCAGCCTACTTATTTTCTAATAATTTGATTAGTGGATGTGTAATCATTTTTCTAAACACCATTGGAAAACTAGAGGTTTATCCATTGATTGGTTAAAAACCAATCTTGACTAACTTAAATCCTTCAAGTGTCATATTGAGTAATTTGTATATAATTAGTGTTAAGCTGTTAATAAAAATGTTATATATAAAAAGAGCTTTTTATTTTAGAAATTAAAATGTTGTCATTTGATACTCACAATGGCAGGTTTATAGCTATCAACACTTATCTAACTGAACTATTTATATCAGGCCAATAATGCCACTCAAGTTGGACATGTTGTTTAGATTAGCATTCCAGGCAATTAAAAATCAGTGAACCGGGCCAAACCCAAACATCCAAAATTTAGCTCTTTTTTCTAGATGGTCCTAGGGGTGTATAATGTATTGACCAATATTTATATTGATACGAGAATTGTAAGAACATGGTATTGCTGTATCATTGCAAGATTTTTTTGTATAAAAATACTTTGGATCTTGTTGATTAAATTGGGAGGTTAGAAGGCCGAATGGTTAGTGCTTGCGCGTTGTATCATAAGGTCTGTCATTGAGTCGACCGGTTTGGTTTCGATTCCCCAGTTAAATGTGACAAGGAGTAGGGTCGCCTGTCCAACCTTATGGGTTTTCTCCTGGTCCTCCGGTTTTCTTCCCCTGCTAAAGACCAATATGTTAGTCCTGAAATGACCTAGTTTATGTTGAGTGGACGTTAAATCACATTTCTCTCCCACATTGGGAAAGGCAAGCAATAGTTGTGATTTGTGATCTAAGGGGAGATAATACAAATTTAACTGATAGGTTTCAGACTAGTAATTCTCTCCCTATTGACTTCAATGTTAAATCCATGACATTTATAATTCCACTGGGGGAAATACAATACAATAGTTTGTGGTCTAAGGGGAGATAATATGAATTTATTGATCAGGATTCAGACTAGTAACTCCCTGCCCATCGACATCAGTCTTAAAAATTCATGGCATTTATAATTCCGCTGACAAAAGAGACCCATCAAAGGTTTTTTAGCGAAGGTTGTCGGTATTGCTGACTTTGTTAAACCATATCCCACTTTTAACGATGTTGAATATTGCCTGTTACAGTACATTTCGATTCATGATTTCATTTGTTTTATTTTCAGTAACAACTAATTTATACGAGGGTACTATTGATAAACAGTTCCAAGATAAACAGGTTTACGGAACACCAGAATATATAGCGCCAGAAGTGATATTACGTCAAGGTTACGGTAAACCTGTTGATTGGTGGTCTATGGGAATTATTTTATATGAATTTCTCGTGGGTTGTGTGCCATTTTTTGGAGATACACCAGAAGAATTGTTTTCTCAAGTTATTAATGGTAAGTTTACCGCAATACTAACTAGGGATCTGATATAGGGCCTGTTCCCCCGATCTCCCATTCATTTGTATGGAATAAAATATCTTAAAGAAGGGGTTGGGTGGCCGAATGGTTAATGCATGCGCGTTTGATCAAAAGGTCTGTCGTTGAGTCAAGTGGCGTGGTTTCGATTCCCCGCTTGTACGTGGGTTTTCTCCAGATCCTCTGGTTTTCTTCCCACTGCTACAGACCCCTACGTGGCAGCAAATTATTGAAATAAAATTGAACCATATGTTAGTCCCGAAACGATTTAGTTTGTGTGTTGAGGAGGGGTCTCTCTCTCTCAAACCCCTAAGAGCAAGCAAATTTTTGGAAATAAAAGTGAACCGTGTTAGTCCCGAAATGACCTAGTTTGGGTCAAGTAGACGTTAAATCCCATTTGTTGTAGTATTGTGACTGTACAGTTCTATTCACTTGATTTTTTTTAAGTGTCCGTGTCTAGATTTGTATTGTTTATATAATTATAGAATCGGTAGAATGGCCGGAGGAGGATGATTGGCAGGTACGAGAGGATGCTAAAGATATAATAAGTGGTCTCCTGACTCACGATCCCACAGAAAGATTAGGTTTCGCTGGGGCTCAACAGGTGAAAGAACATTATTTCTTCCATGGTTTAAACTGGGAGAATTTATTACGTCAGAAAGCTGAGTTTGTTCCACAGTTAGATAGTGAAGAAGACACAAGTTATTTCGATTGTAAGTATACTTAGTTATAAACATCGTGTCTGGTAACACTGTAACCTGGGTATCATTTAATCTTGTGTATTTAGCACTAATTCTTTCACATTCATTCAATATCAAATCTTTGTTTTAAAATAAGTAAAAATCGTTTAACCCTTAACCGGTCATCGATATAATCCGAGTCGGAATCATTCATAAGTATTTCAACCACTTCGAGCGTCTAACGTTCCCGACACCGTTAAATCACATTTTGGGTCAAAAAATGTTGAACAAAGACATGTTTTTCTCAATGCCCTTGACAAGACAACTTTCTCTCTGACACGTATGCGTTGCTATATCAATTAAATACGAAACTAAATACTCAAATACGGCTTATAAAAAAGGTTCTTGCTGTGGTTGACTTTAGTCGACCGTGACCACTTAGCTGTATAACGTTGTGGTGACTATAGTCGACAATGACTGGTTAAGGGTTAAAATCATCCAATTTGTCCTTGTATCTGGGTTAAAGCTTAAATTTCAATTTTGATAACGAGTGTCCAATTTAAAAGCGTTTAATTTCTAGATCACTGTTAAAAAATACACAACATAAAGTAGCAATGATATGACTATGTCCTCATATTTTCATCCAGCGTCCATATTTAGTCAAATTAGACCACCGATCGGCAATTTTGTAGCCATAGTAACACACTGTACAGTATGTATAATATGGTAGCCATGGTAACAGAGGCTTAAATCTGAAATATTTTCTTAGGGTATCTCATTTGAAAATTCTAATAAATATAAAATGAATTATTGTTACAGCGAGAACAGAAAGATATAATCATGTCATTTGAAAATTCTAATAAATATAAAATGAATTATTGTTACAGCGAGAACAGAAAGATATAATCATGATTTAGCGGAAGACACGGAAGACGAACCTGATGATGTATTGTTTCACAGTTTCTCGTCATGTTCACCCAGATATAGTAAAGTTTACTCTAGAATTGAAGAGTTACATGAGGTTCGTACTAACTGGTTCTCTCTGTCGTTTGGTGGTCACATGTTCGATCCCGGCATTGGCAGAGAAAGTTCATAAGGATTTTCTGACTTGGTTTCCCCTTGTCAGTGGTGCAGGACGGAGGCCTGACAAGGACAGCTGTCTAGTCATTTGGATGGGATAAAAAACTAAGGTTCCATGTATACATTGGTGTGCACGTAAAAGATCCCTTGGCAATTGGAATTTGATATAAGAGTAGGCCATAATGCCACTACCCAGGCAAAATTTCCCTCGTATGGCGTATGCCCGTCTTCATTAGCCTAGTTGGAGCAGAACAGTAGAACATTAAGTTGAACCCCATTTCATTTCATTTCATTTCATTTCTTAACAATGTCTGTTACAGCTGCCATATTGTCAGACTTGATAAATATACAATGTTTATTTTAGGATCGACGAGAGAAAGACCGGAGAAGACATTCTAGTGCTGATGATTTCCGTACGCGAGTCCTCGAGAAACAAGCTTTAGAACGTAAAGATTCTAACCAATCAGAGTGTTCCGATACATCACTAGAGATACGATCGGTATTGAGGAAGGACAGTAGTGATACAACAGACTCTAGAACGGACGCTAGTACCGTTAAATTAGACGAAGATGTGTTCAGTAACTCTGACAGGTAAAAAGTTAATTGATGAAGTATGGCAGGGGTGGGAGGGCGTACAGTAGCAATACGACAGACTCTATAATGGACGCTAATACTGTTAAATTGATGAAGTAGGGAAGGGTGGGCTAGGGTACAGTAGCAATACGATGAGCTCTAGAATGGACACTAGTACCGTTAAATTAGACGAAGATGTCTTCAGTAACTCTGAGAAGTTAATTGATGAAGTATGGAGGGGGTGGGAGGGCGTACAGTAGCGACACAATTACCGTTAATTAGACGAAGATGTCTTCAGTAACTCTGACAGGTGAGAAGTTAATTGATGGAGTATGGAGGGGGTATAGTAGTGATACGATGGGCTCTAGAATGGACGCTAGTACCGGTAAATTGATGAAGTATGGAGGGGGTGCAGCACCATGGTTGGATCTTTTTAATTTGTCCTAGGACCCATATGATTTATTTATTATCATTATACTAAGTATTACTTCAGAACAATACCAAACCAAGCACGGTGCAAGTTTATGAATAGGTAGTGTTATTTTCAAAATGGCTGATCTTTGCTGATATCAGAAACGAAAAGGGGTAGCGTCATTACACCATACTTGAATCTTAACTGACATGAAGGGTTCATTTAAGTGCCCACCATCCGAATACACTCTGCTCATTGCCAGGTCCTGTATACGCATATGTGGGTGTATGTAAAAGATCCCTTGGCAGTTGGAATTCGATATAAGAGTAGGCTGTAGTACCGCTGTCCAAGCAAAATTTGCCTCATAGAACACTGTATGACAAAGCCTGTCTTCATTAGCCCAGCTGGAGCAGAACAGTGCAATGTTAAACCCCATTTGATTTCATAAGGTCTGTCATTGACTCAAGTGGCATGGTTTTGATTCCCTGCTTGTACATGATAAGGAGTAGGGTCGCCTGTTCAATCCCCTGGTTTTTTCTTGGTCTTCCGATTTCTTTCCACTGCTAAAGACCCCTATGCGCAACGAATTAATGAAATACTAATAGAACCATATGTTAGTCCCGAAATGATATATGGTAACACAGTATAATTTGTATTTATTTCAGTATGTGTCGATCAATAGACCACAGTAGTATATCAGATTCTTCACAGACGGACAGTGATTCATGTCTTTCGCCACAAATAACACGATCTAGACCACCATTAAAAAATGTCATACCACGATTAGCTATATCATCAGAGGAAGAAAAATCTCCCAGTTCTAAAGGTTAGAAAATTATAAAATATTGTTATTTCACTCAAGTTGGACAAATCTGGCCCTGGTTTTACAAAGCATTCTCTGAAGTTAAGAATTGTTCACCTTATTTTAACTAAAATATAGCCCTTTATAAAACGTTGGTTGTTTTAATGTATCAAATACATCAATAAGAAACTATGTGCAAAGTTTTGTGTTTCTTGATCAAGGATATTTCTCATTAACAGTGATTGAAAGTTGAGTAAACCAGAGCCTGATGTCAGTTTTTTTTATATATATTTGGTCAAATAAAATATTTATAGAAACTAAAATAAGTGCAGAAGGACCACACAAAAGTAGGGCAAACCTCCGAACAAGACACACAAGATAAACCTCCAGACAAGACACACAAGACAAACCTCCGGACAAGACACACAAGACAAACCTCCGTACAAGACACACAGGGCAAACCTCCGCACAAGACAAACCTCTAGACAAGACAAACTTCCAGACAAGGCGCACAAAACAAACCTCTGGACAAGACTCACAAGAAAAATCTCCAGATAAGACTCACAAGACAAACTTCCGGTCAAGACACAAACAACAAAACTCTGGACAAGATGCACACGACAAACCTCTATACAAGACTCACAAGATAAACCTCCGGACAAAGACAAACCTCTGGACAAGACTCACAAGACAAACCTCCGGACAAAGACAAACCTCTGGACAAGACTCACAAGACAAACCTCCGGATAAAGACAAACCTCTGGACAAGACTCACAAGACAAACCTCCGGATAAAGACAAACCTTTGGACAAGACTCACAAGACAAACCTCTGGACAAAGACAAACCTCTGAACAAGACTCACAAGCAACCAATAAACAAACAAATATATATTCAAATCAAGTGAATGGATTACTTATTTTTTATGATTTTGAATAATTTTCAGACTAATATGTTTGGGGTTTTTTTTTAATGAATACCTGTGATCAATTATGAACCGAGACTCTATTTTATTCTGGATTAAAACAGTTCGTTCGTGACTGGAATCTCGTGACACTGATCATCCGCTTTACAAAACTCCCTGAAAACAAACTCCCTGGAATTATTGAATAATTTTCAGAAATACCTGTGATCAATTATGAACCAAGGCTCTATTTTATATTGGATTATTTTGTTTTCAGACTAATACGTTGTTTTTTTTTAATGAGTACCTGAACCGAGACTTTTATTTTATTTTGGGATTATTTTGTTTTCAGAATTATCTCCGGTAGACGAAGGTAAAGAGAGAAGTGTTGTTAAAGAGAGTAAGAAATCCCGAGATAAATCTAATATGCCAAAATCTGCGTCTGCTACAGCGTTAACATTACTAATACATCCTGCAGGTAGAAAAACTGGTGTGTAGTGTTTTTAGTCGTTTCACGTAAACCTAGTCATTAATTCATCTCGTTAAAACAAACATCCTTGTGTGTATAGTCGTATACTGTTTGAATGGCATTTAGTAATTGAACACATTAAAATAAACAGTTCTATGGATGACAATTACTGTATTTCTATTAAAGCTACGTTTCAACAATGATTCTGGGGGGTTGGATAACCAAATGGTTAGCATGTGCGTGCTGTATCATAAGACCTGTCATTGAGTCAACTGGCGTGTACGTGATAAGGAATAGGGTTGCGTGTCCAACCTCGTGGGTTTTCTCCGGGTCCTCCCGTTTCCTCCCACTGCTAAAGACCCCTAAGCGCAAGCGAATTATTGAAAGAAAATTAAACCATATGTTAGTCCCGAAATGACCTAGTTTGTGTCGAGTGGACGTTAAACCCCATTTCTCTCTCTCTCTCTCAACAATAATTCTCTTGCCATATTCAAGTTTGATAACGACAAGAGAATTATTGTTGAAACGTAGCTTAACATGTTTCTATTAAGGCCACATTTCAACATAATTCACTTATCGTTATCAAGCTTGATGATGACAAGAGAATGATTGTTGAAACATAGCTTTAATAGAAATACAGTAATCGTTATCCATAGAACTGTTGTGTAGTGTTCATAGTGGTAGTTACTCTATATATTTCACGTAACATTTGGGAATGGGGACCATTGTAAGTGTAAAAAATGAAATTTACATATGTTTTAATGAGGTCACTCGAACGTTGAATTAGAAATGAATTGCTGCTTGTCATTTTTTTTATTTAATTTGAGATATAGGATATGGGTATTACGAACACATTGATATAAAAATGAATTACTGCTTATCATTTTAATTGAGATAGGAGATGGGTATTATATAACACGTTAATCTCATATTCTAACAAGTTGGTTTGGTTAACTTTAAAACACTCAGTAGACAGTGGGACAGGGTTATAACTTTAAAATAATTGACAAGGGTTTTAGGATTCATTCTGTAGAATGATTGTTTTAATGAATATAAACCTGTTAAAGGGAGACAACTACTGTTTTCATATGGTCTAGACCAGCTGGAGTTCAAATACAGGCATGTGTTACTGGCATACAGTAAAAAAAGATATCCACTTTTTGAAATGAAATGAAGAAATGAAGTCCTGTTTACAAATATGTGGTGCATGTCAATCATCCCTTAGCAGTTAGAATATGAAGAAAAGCTAGAAACCTGACAGTCGGGGCAAAATTATCCTCTTTCCAGCATGACACATATGTAGCCTAAATGAAATGGGGTTTAATGTCCTACTGTTCTTCTCCGACTGGGCTAATACGGCATACAGTGTGCTATGAGGGAAATTTTTGTGCTGACAGCGGCACTACAGCCTACTCTTATATCGAATTCCAAATGCCAAGCGATCTTTTATGTGTAAGCCATCGTCTTTTCGTCACTTCCAAATGACCAGACAGCTGGTCAGGGACAAGGGACAACATATCGTCGTTTGGATGTGACTAACAAATGACTACACTGCATGTAAATTAAGCCTTGGCAGTTGGAATTCGATATAAAACTTAGCTTACTGTTTGGTGTTACAGTGCAAGGTTAAATCCAATTTCATTTCACTAAACATCTTTAGAACATATCAGTGCCTGATTACCCTTAGTTTGAAAACCCATTATCTGTTGTGTTGAATGCCAGAGCATTGTCCAAGTAGACTTGTTGAAACCCAGAGCATTGTCTGAGTTGACTTGTTGAAACCCAGAGCATTTTCTAAGTTGACGTATATCTTGTTAAATACCAGAGCACAATGCACAAGTGAAAGTTGTAATAATTGAAATGTCTTTTCTGTCGTCTGTGTATTGTCCTGTAACTGGGGCCTGTTTCATGAAATTTTAACTAAGATAAAATCCAAATTTTAGTAATTTGATTGGATAATATTAGATTGATTTTAGTGCTTAGTCAATCAAAATTGAAGTATCTACTAACATTTGGATTTTATCTTTAGTTAAAATTTCGAGAATCAGGACCCTGGTTTATAGATTGGTAAAAATCAGATATTCAAAATCGAGGGCCTTATTCGCAAAGCTTTAAAGTATAATATTTTTAAGATTTCACTTTCATTGGTTGAGAGATGAGATATACCTATACAGTGAAAGTAATAAATCATTGTATGTCCCCCCATAGGCGTACGGGGAAATTTTTGACTGGGGGAGCAGTGGTGGTTGGTGCCCAAAAAATGTAGTTAGGTTTTTAGTATGTTACATAATAATAATAAATTCGCTGTTAAATTGGACACATTCAAGAACATAATATTTTTTTTATACAACTTTTACAAAGTACAATTGTGTGCCCAAATTTTCCCAGCATTTGGTGCCCAAAATGGGGGGGGCCCGCCCCCCCAGCCCCCCCCCCCCCCCAGCTCGTACGCCTATGTGTCCCCCATCCTACACCACTGACCAGGGGAAACCACACCGGAAAATCCTTATCGACTTTCTCAGCGTCTTACTCCCTTACCCATCATGGCTCCCATACATTTAACTAAAAATACCATACTATCATTGAGTAAAACATTCGCTCACCGACTTGGAGGTCCCATGTTCCATCCCCGGTAATGGCTGAGAAAGTTCATAGGGATTTTCCGGCATTGGTTCCCTCTTGTCAGGGAGGGGTTGGATGGCTGAATGGTTAGCGTTTGCACGCTGTATCATAAAGCCTGTCATTGAGTCAACTGGCGTGTTTTCAAATCCCCGGTTGTACGTGACAAGGAGTAGGGTCGCCTGTCAACCTTGTGGGTTTTCTCCGGGTCCTCCGGTTTCCTCCCACTGCTAAAGACCCCTACGCGCAAGAGAATTATTGAAATAAAATTAAACCATATGTTAGTCCCAAAATGACCTAGTTTGTGTTGAGTGGACGTTAAACCCCATTTCTCTCTCTCTCTCCCCTCTTGTCAGTGGATCAAGACAGGACAGTATAGTTGTTCGGATTGGATGAAGACCTAGGGTATCGTGTAGGCACTGGCATACGATAAAAGAACCCATGGCAGTTAGAATATGATATAAGAGTAGGCCTTGGTGATGCTGTCCGGGCAAAATGTCCCTCATAGCACACTGTATGGTGTATATTGTCTTCATTAACCCAGTCAGTGTAGAACAGTAGGATGTTTAATACCCCTACGCGCAATTGAAATAAAATGGAACCATATGTTAGTCCCAAAATGACCTGTTTTGTTTCGAGTGAATGTTAAACTCCATCTCTCTTTTATGATACCTTTAACTAAAGATACCCTACTATTTTTTCTATTTCAGAAGATTCGTATCCACGATTAAACTCACCAGGTGGTTCCAGTGCTAGTTCTCGTGATGGTTCTCCTAACAGAGATTCGTCACCATTGTCACGATCGTTAAAACCACCGATAGTTGTTAAACGTGGAGCCCGGGGATTTGGTTTCAACTTTCAGAGTGTCCGTGTTTATATTGGTGAATCGGACGTGTATACAATACAACATATTGTTACGGTAAGTTCGTTTTTTTTTATCATCGATTATTTCGACATCGATGTTGACCAAGAAACAATCTGATTAAAACACAGATCCTATTTCGTTTCGTTTTACTTGTCCTTACTACACTAGGATCTGGAAGAGTTGTTATATAACCTGCATTGTGGATGATGTGAGGGATTAGCCAATGAAACAGTCTGTTACAGTGAGTTTTTGGCATGGGGTGCACGGAACTGTGGGTAACCTACTACAAATATCAAAGCTGATTGGTTAATCAGTGTCTGATGTCATAGGGTCAAAAGCTGCTCATATGACTCCTGACACGACCTTCCACTATAACTTGTCAGATCTTCATGTAGTGTCGGCCATTGAAAGTATAAAAGAACGAAACAAAATATAGATCTGTATTTAAATCAGATTGTTATTTCTCATTGATAAGTGGCTCGGTGAGTAGGTGGTCCAGGGTTCGGACCGAGAAAATTTGTCAGTGATGCAGGACCTGGGAAGCAACAGTGAATTGTGTTCCGCATGTAAAGGAAAACAGATGTCTCAAGTAAGAATTGGCATCCAGGCAAAATTTGCCTCATGGTGTATGCCAGTCTTCATTAACCCAGTGGGTGCAGAACAATGAGGTGATAAATACTGGGGAGTTAGATGGCCGAATGGGTAGGTCAAGGAGCAGGGTCTCCTGTCATACCTCGTAGGTGTTCTACGGGTCCTCCGGTTTCCTTCCACTGCTAAAGAACCCTACGCGCAAGCAAATTAATGAAATAAAATTGAACCGTATGTTAGTCCCAAAATGACCTAGTTTGTGTTGAGTAGATATTAATAATTAAACTCTTAGCTGACCCAAATCGACACCTATAACGTTACCATTAGTACCCACCGCGACTTTTATCGACAAAACCGTTAGCCAAATGCAACGTTTCTAGTGTAATGAGAGTTACTTCCCTTATAACTTGTTTGTTTACTTCCTGTTTGACATTTTGATAGTTAAAAATCGTACTGTTTCTTCTAGAAAAATTATAATAAAACGGTGATACTGTCTTGGCCTACACAAAAATGTTCTCCTAATCACGGATTACCAGTATGACATGGTTTTTATGAGGTTATAACGTGGTTTTTATGAGGTTATAACGTCAAAACTCAGGGTCACTTAAGAGTTAATAATGTAAGTAAGATGTTGTCCAATGTATTATTTTGATTCATTTTTTATTTATGTCATGTTTTTTTTTAATTTCAGGACGTATCTAACAATAGTCCAGCATTTGAAGCCGGGTTACGTAAAGGTGATTTAATAACGCACGTTAACGATGAAACCATACAGAGTCTGCTTCATACACAAGTCGTACACCTCATCATGTGTGGTGGTAACGTCTTGACGATTCGATGTGTACCGATAGAAAACACCTCTATCAAGACCTGCGCTAAACGAAAGGGAGGTAATCCTGGCAAAATGGCTCGTAAGAAGCGACAACAAAGAGAGAAGGGAGCGGAAAGGAAAAAGGGGCGATCTTTATTTCGAAGACTCAGCACAAAGAAAGCCGAGCAGCACGTTTTACCCTGTTCCCCAGTAACGCCAAACCGAGCCAGTCCACTCAGTCGATCTTATTCGTCAAGTGAGGCCACTCCGCAACCAATGAAAACGGTCCGCTCACCGCCAATAACTGTTCCATGGTCACCGGAGAACTCTCCACAGAACAGTTCCAACAGCAGCTCACCAGCATCAAGTACGCCAAACTCTCCCGCTGGTACGACACATTTCGGACGACCCAGTTCACTTCAAGTCGTCAAACACAAGAAAAGTAAAACCCAGAGTCTCCAATCACCACACAGAAGAAAATCAGTGCATAATATCCCCCTGTCTCCCCTGGCCAGAACCCCCTCCCCGTCCCCTCTCGCTTCCTCTCCTACTCGGAGTCCTAGTCCAATGGCCTGTGTTCATCAACATCTTCAAGGTAGCTCTTCTCAATCTCAAAAGACTATACCTGCCTACCTAAACCCTCCTGTACCTCAAACCTCTACTCCCACATCCCGCAAGGGGTTCTCGCGACCAAAAAGCTGCGAACCAACTTCTCCCTTGCTTCGTAGAGCTTTGTCTCCGGACAGATTACATCCGAGCTCCGCAGAAAAAATGCCAGCACAACGTAAAGCTCCGTTACAGGACAAGAAATCTGAAGCTCTGTAATTTAAGTGTTTGGAATATGATGGTGTTTTTCAATGTATAATTCTATAATATATTGTGGTAATTAACAGGGGTATATCTATCAGTTCTCTGTTACTCAGTTCAATTAACGGATATCTCTCCGTCTATATCAGGTGTTACACTATTAAAAATTAACGGGGGTATATCTACCTGTACTCCTTTAATCAGTCTGATTAACGGATATCTCTGTGCGTCTATATCAGGTGTTACACTATTAAATATGTGGTAATTAAGTATGGTTTAATGGTCGAGGGAGAGACCTTAAGTAATATATTAAAACAACACGGGTGACATAGTCCCTGAGTTGTTATTTCAATATATTACACAATGTCTTAAGCTCGAGACCATTAAACAACATAAAATACAGATACATATAAATAATGTACTCTTGGCATATTGCCGTACCATTATTTGAAATAATGGTACGCCAACATCAAAGGATGATGTCACATCTGTATTTTAAATTTCTATATATGGAGGGGGATATTTGTGTAATAAAAGAACAGCTTCGGTTAAGGATGCATTATGTTAGAGCTTATTCACATGACAAGCCTGTAGTCAACTCTCGAATTCGTCAGATTGATCGGTTATTAAATGGATTAGACAATGTTTGCCATATCTTCGTTAAAATCAAGACTTTGTTAATTAAAAACTTCAAACATTCATAACTTCACTCAAAATAAAGTAATTTCGACTGAAATTTTCAATATATATATGTTCGTGTTTAAACTACATAATGCATCTTTTAACAGATATATCCCGACCTATAAAAGGCGTTAATTATTTAATAGATATATTCCTGTCCATATAACGACCTACTCAGTGCAGTAAACAGATATATCATGACCTATAAAAGGTGTTAATTATTTAATAGATATATCCCTGTTCATATAAAACATGCTACTCAGTTCAGTAAAACAGGTATATTTCTTTGTGCGTAATTATTGTGGTGATGGACTTTCTTTGTGTATTACGAGCATAAATAAATAGAAAGTTTGTCTTCCTTGTGATAATAATATTACGATAACTATCGTGTGTGTGTGTGTGTGTGTATTTTATTCTATATTTTTTTTTATTGTCGTTCGTTGGTTCGATCGTTCGATCGTGGACAGTTGTGTATATAGAATGTAAATATAGTTACGGTGTTATTCTGGTGCTTAAAGTTTGTAGATGTGTTTTCATTTGTTTTCTTGACTTGGAATTTAAAGTGACACACTTTATGTTCAATGTACATACATATGAACTATTTGACTACGGATATAAAAATAGACTCTTATGACTACAAGTCGGGTATATATTGTGATATCGAAGTTGTAGTGTTTGACTTCGGATATACTAATATATACTCTATGTAGATTGTATATATATAAAGGTTATATATTAAAACTCCTGTAAATATATTGTGTGATAATACAAGGACGACATTCATCTATCTCTATAATCAGTATCAAGTATGGCTGTGATTGTGAATATATTTCAGTTAAATTTATCATTCATAACTCGTGACCGATATACGAGATCGACACAGTAGAATCATTTAACACGGGAGTCGCATAACAGACTGAGATTTAGCAGAAATTATAACAGGTAAAATCGTTTATATTCCTGGGTTCTCAAGAAATGATTTGGATTTAAAGGATGTGTTTTTTAAACAAATGGAAATTTGAACGTTTTCTGGAAATTTTAACAGTAGACTGGCTATTGCATAGAGCAGTGGTAGGCAAACTATGGTCCGCGGGGCCACATCTGGCCCCCACAGCCTTGTAATCGGGCTCACCAGACCCTTCCACTACATTTGAATATTTACGAGTTATATCTCTAAATGAAATAAAAAATTGAGGGCCCAAACTCTAAAGAGGCCTTACTCTCTGCAGTATCAATAATCTTTGTAGGTCTATTTATAACTTGCAGCATCACTCAGTGACGTAGTTGCCTATCTTACAATTCTTGTTTGGCCCTCGTTTCATTTCAAAACTTTGTGTTTGGCCCTTTGCCTAAAACATTTGCCTGCCCCCGGCATAGAGTAACATTATAACAGTCTGAAATTAAGCAGGAATTTCCAGTCTCTTTTTTTTTCTGTATAAAATACATTTATTTAGTCTGTAGCAATGTTGAGATAAAATGAGTCGTTAAAAAACAAAATCGATAGTGCTTCAAAATTTGTAACCTGTGTGAACTCCTCATTGTTGTTGATTTTGGTCGTGATTTTATATTGGTATATTCAACTACACCTATTTACCAAGTGACAGTCTTTTAAAGTCTTCAATCAAAATAGAGGGGTTGGGTGGCCAAATGGTTAGCGTGTGCACGTTGTATCATAAGGTCTGTCATTGAATCAACTGCCATGGTCTCGATTCCCCGGTTGTACGTGACAAGAAGTAGTCTAAAACTACGCCAATTCAATTGTGATCAACATAAAATATGGCACACGGGTTCTTTGGACAATTGTGCATTGATTGACAATTGACAGACTTTTGATATGTCACTATTCGCTGATCAGGAGATGAAGTCTTACTGGCTTCCTGGTGTACAATCTACCAGAAATGTTATTGATATAAGAAAGGAATAATTTGATTGACTACTGAAAGAGACTGTCATTTGGACCATCTTGTTATCGTACCTGTTTTAGTTTGCTATTCATTCTTTTATTGATAACATACCATATTTTTCTCCAGGAAACTGTGAGAATGACTATTCATTATTCATGTTTGATTGTATACATTATCATTATTTTTCAAAAATCAGTGGCATATATTTTGTTGACAGTAACACAGTAAATATCCTTACACTGTAATCCAGGTATTATTTAATCTTGTGTATCTAGCGCTAATTGCTCTCACTTGTCTTCATTAGCCCAGTTTAGGAGCAGAACAGTAGGGCGTTAAACCCCATTTCAATAATTGCTCTCACATTCATTCAATATCAAATCTTTTTTAAAAAAATTACTCATTATACATCAATAATCAATTGGGTTGTTTAAGTTTTAACAGTGATCGAGAAATTAAACGTAAATTGGACACTCATTATCAAAATTGAATGGTCAGCTTTTAACTGGGCACGAGTAAAATGATTTTTATGAATTTTTCAAAAAAAGATTTGATATTGAATGAATGTGAAAGAAATTAGTGCTAGATACACAAGATTAAATCATACCTGGGTTACAGTGTATTTTGTTGACAATAATAATAACCATCCTTACTTGCTTCTCTGTATTCTATCACTAAATAATTTGTTGATCAGTTGTTAGTAATTTCATATTTATAAGATAATACTGTATTAAATTTGTTGTATTGTTTACATAACTTCAACTGATCATGTTCAATTTCTTGTATTATTTTAATAGAGACTTTAGTATGTATTATTAAGAAAAGTTAATAATACTTGGGGGGGGGGGAATCAGTATCTTTCAGTAATGAAATAAACCTGAACCAATGAATCATTTAAAGCATAGTATTAAGGAACAGCATTGGCTTTAGCATGTATCATTAAGCAAATATTAATTATATTTATCTGAACCAATAAATTATTTAATCAGTAGGATTAAGGATTATTTAATCAGTATGGTTAAGGATTATTTAATCAGTAGGATTAAGGATTATTTAATCATTAGGATTAAGGATTATTTAATCAGCAAGATTAAGGATTATTTAATCAGCAAGATTATGGATTATTTAATCAGCAGGATTAAGGATGATTTAATCAGCAGGATTAAGGATTATTTAATCAGTATGGTTAAGGATTATTTAATCAGTAAATCTGTATGGTTAAGGATTATTTAATTAGTAGGATTAAGGGTTATTTAATTAGTAGGATTAAGGATCGATATTAAAGTATGGTTAAGGATTATTTAATTAGTAGGATTAAGGATTATTTAATTAGTAGGATTAAGGATCGATATTAAAGTTATTAGGTTAGGCTTTAGCATACATATCATTGAGGAAAAATTAGGAATTTTAGAAATCCGATAAATTAAATGATGGTTCTATAACCATTGTTTTATGTATGCAGCAGTTTTAAGCATAAGCATATATTCATAGTTTTAACTGTACCTCCTCAGACTTGTTATTTATAATATAAAATAATTAAAAGACCAAACCAATTTCATTTTCAATTCTTTTGGGCCGTGATAAATAAATAGCCAATTCAGTTGCATAAAACATAACTAGTCATCTATAATACAGAATACATCAATTAGCATAATTATTACTGGTAGCTGTTACAAAATAATCCTGAATACTAAATATTCCTACCTCTTTATACATATATTTCACTCGGTTTGTGATCAGGACTATAAGGTGTGTGCATGATTTTATTATCCAGTTTTCAGTAATATTATAAAAAAATTCAACATGATTCAGTGAGAAAAATTTGTTTATAAGTGACTTGAATTTGACATAAATTAGGGAAATTTTAATAGTGGCCATGCTATGAATATATGTAATAGTAACTCTAAAGCTTGGCGAGTCATTTAGCGCTAGGGGGTTGGATGGTCGAATATAATTATATATTCCATAATTGAGGTATATAGAACTGTTCTGTATATATATTCATGATCGGGTAGTGAACTATGCTATACATGTGTGTATATATTGTACTGGAAAAAAAACCCCATTTAAATGGCATTTCATCATTTTGTTTATTTTATATATATATATCGATCTCTCTTATTATGTTCCTCAAAATGTTTTATGAGATTTTGTACAATACTGTACATAGTATTGTATGATACAGTACTATGTTGACAGTACAATACTGTACAAGTCGACTGTACGATACAGTACTATGTTGACAGTACAATACAGTACAAGTTGACAGTATGATACCGTACTATGTTGACAGTACAATACTGTACAAGTCGACTGTACGATATAGTACTATGTTGACAGTACGATACTGTACAAGTCGACTGTACGATACAGTACTATGTTGATAGTTATATTAACCCTATGAATTATATTATCATGATTATATTACATTAGTATTACCTTTATCTTTATTCATAAAACAACATGGCTCTCATTTTGGTCATATTGGGGACAAGACTATCTATAAATAGGCCTTTTTTTCATATTGGTTACTTAAATGTAATCCTTTTTGAATAGATTATAAATACACTAGATCGATAATATGCGAAATCACTTTCGTATTGGCTACATAATGTAAATTTTATTTGACAGGGCTACAGATATTTTTCTTTTTTCAAATTAACTAAATAATTCATGTAAATTTTATTTAAAAAGGGCTATAAATAGGCTTTATCATTTTCATATTAGTTACAGGCTATAAATAGGTATTTCCTCTTTCATATATTGGTTAGATAATATAAACTTTAAAATGTATAGGGTTTCTATGACTGTTGTTTAATATATTTAATTATAATAATTGTAGTAATATATGATCAGGTTTAGATAATATGTTATTATACTAAAAGAGATTAATGTTTGCTCAGTGTAAAGAATATATTATTACTGTAAATATGTTGAATATAACTATATTATATACAAAACATGGTGTTAAAACAAGTTACAAGGCTTGACAAATGTTGTTACAATAAGTTACAAGGCTTGACAAATGTTGTTATAACAAGTTACAAGGCCTGACAAATGTTGTTATAACCAGTTACATGGCCTGACAAATGTTGGTCAGGCCTGACAGAGGCTTGGCAAATGTTGTTATAATATGTAACAAGGGCTGACAAATGTTGTTACAAGGCTTGACAAATGTTGTTAGAAGACTTGACAAATGTTATGTTTAATGTAACTCTATGTAAAGCTTTATTATGATTGTAAAAAAATACAACACTCTGTCCTTAAATATACAGCTGCTGTATTGTAGACGTAACAAACCTACAATTTCTACCATATAAATTTAAAATACCATTGTCTTGTCTTTTTTTTCTCTCTCTTTTTCCCTCCAATTTTACAGCTATGTGGCTATACCAATTTGAAATTTTGTTTGTTCTTTGAGCTGTCTTCATTAACCTAGTCGATGCACAGATGTAGGATGTTAAACCACATTTTATTGGCAGAATGGTTAACGTGTGCGCGCTGTATCATAAGGTCTGTCACTGAGTCAACTGGTGTGGTTTCGATTCCCTGGTTGTACGTGACAAGGAGTAGGGTCGCCTGTCAGTCCAACCTCGTGGGTTTTCTCCAGATCCTCTGGTTTCCTCCCACTGCTAAAGACCCTTACGCACAAGCGAATTATTAAAATAACATTGAACCATGTTAGTTTCAAAATGACCTAGTTTGTGTCAAGTGGAAGTTAAACCCAATTTCTCTGTCTCTGACAACTGTACAACACAGTAAACTGAACAATCAATGTTGGCAATGTGTAACCCTGGCTACTTGGCTGGCTAACGAACAAATTGCAACAAAAGATTTTTTTTTTACTCCAGATGTCTAAACCCAACAGATTTGGAGATATTAAGGATTTGATCCCATCCCCTCTGTCTTCATTGCAAATCTGATTTTGGTAAATTTTCTTTTGCTAAGTTAGAATCTTTTGGTGCAATTTGTTCCATATCAAATGTTAGTTTGACCAGCAAATACTGCAAACAGATGACCTGGGGTGATTTGCCAGATCGGAGGCAAATGTATGAATGTTGACAGAAAAGACAGATTGGGGGCAGTGGGAGGGAGGATCCCCATTTTTTAAAGCTCTAATAATAACTGCAGGAGGACCGCACCAAAAATACACAAGACAAACCCAAGGACAAGATAAACAACAAACGTATATATCAGATCAAGTGAATGGATCTGGGGATCAGTTATAAGTGTTCACTGTGCTGTTCAGTTCCGGAATCTGTAGTGATACAGGATTCATTAAAAATGCAAAACAAACTACCAATAAGGGAAAAAATCCAAGAGTGTAAAATGAAATGGGGTTTAACCTCCTACTGTTCTGCTCCGACTGGTCTAATGAAGAAGGGCATACGCCATACAGTGTGCTATGAGGGAATTCCCCAGTTGTATGTGACAAGGAGTAGGATCGCCTGTCTAACCTTGTGGGTTTTCTCCTTGACCTGCTGTTTCCATTAGAAAACCCTTATGGTCAGACAGGTGACCCTACTCTTTAGTAGTTGGAAGAAACCGGCGGAAATTGGAGAAAACCCTTAAGGTTAAACAGGCGACCCACTCTTAGTAGTGGGAAGAAACTGGAGGACCCGGAGAAAACCCTTGAGGATGGACAGGCGACTCACTCTTAGTAGTGGGAAGAAACTTGAAAAAACCTTTGAGGTTGGACAGGTGATCCTACTCTTTAGTAGTGGGAGGAAACTGGAGGACTTGGACAGGCAACCCTAATCTTAAGTAGTGGCAAGAAACCAGAGGACCATTGAACAAATATGGACACCCCCATAATCCAAAATGGTGACAAACAACCTGTCAAAAATACAAACTTTTCCTTGAGTAGAATTTATTCTGAAAATATGAAGTCAATCCCATCAAATGGATTTTTTTGCAAAATATCTTCTGTATTTTCTGTTCCAAACTGGAATATTTTTCATCTGAGGTTTTCTTACATCTGACCATTTCTTTAAGTCATCATAAAATTGAGAATGCTGATGTGTGAATGGTCTGTAGTAGGAATAAATAGATGTTACAATGGATACAGAATCACCTGGAATATAAAAATATAGACGTCACCATGGATACAGACACACCTAGAATATAAAATATGTAACTATGGATACAGATGCACCTGGAAAATAAAAACATATAACCACGGATACAGAAACACCTGTAGTACATTATAAAATGTAACCATGGATACATAATCGCCTGTAATATAAAATAGACATATGTCACCATGGTTACAGAATCACCTGTAATATAAAATAATATATGTCACCATGGTTACAGAATCACCTGGAATAAAAAAAAATAGATGTAACCATGGATATAGAATCACCTGTAATATAAAAAGTAATTTGACTGAAATTTTCAATATAATCCTTTTTCATTATCTATTTTGAAACTATTACAGTGAGAACGTCCAGCTCTTTATCTAAATCTTACACAATGCATCTTGAAGTATCAGCACTGAAATGTTCAACTTACCTGTGGGTGTTCTAGGATAAACTTACCTGTGGGTGTTCTAGGATAAACTTACCTGTGGGTGTTCTAGGATAAACTTACCTGTGGGTGTTCTAGGATAAACTTACCTGTGGGTGTTCTAGGATAAACTTACCTATGGGTGTTCTAGGATAAACTTACCTGTGGGTGTTCTAGGATAAACTTACCTATGGGTGTTCTAGGATAAACCTTGGTAGAAAATGTGAAGGGTTTTTCCACTTGAGCCAGAACCTCTGTTCCATATGCACCATTGTCAAATTTCTGTCCCTAGAAATATAAATAATGGAGCTTTATTGCAACCTTTGGATCATGGGTTAGATCTATTTGATATGGTGAACTTCGAGTTTGGTCAAAGGTCACGAGATGTAAATAGGGCTAGCGCTAATCCCAACCCTAAACCTAACCCTGAAAATAGCCCCAATGCTTACCCTAACCCTAACCTTCAATCTCGCCAACAATCACATGCTCTACCTTACCGGTATTTACATCTCCACGACCTTGACAAAAATTGAGCTGGCCTTAACAAATAGATTTAGCCATGAATCATGACATAACATTGTTAACCAGTATAAAACATAACACAGTACACTAGCCTTGACATAAGGCACCTGTCACAGACTGTGGCCCTGTTTACACTTGGCCGCAATAAACCTGCCGTCCTCAGCACGGTACCAGGCTGTGATAAATTTCAAGAAATTGACTGGTTTACATTACTCTACAATAACCGGAATTTTATAAGAATATAAACAACTTACTGTTTTAACACAATTTATTAAAGTATCAATAAACAGCTGCCATCTTGGTTTATAATAACTGAAATAAAAAGATTCAGGAATTGATCCCAGCGTTGGTCGTGATTTTCCAGAGTTGTTTCCCCCTTGTCAGTGGTGCAGGACGGAGGGCATGGCAAGGAACAACGCACAGTCAAGTGGATCAGACGATAAACTGACGTCATGTGCTCACATTGGTGTATACATAAAAGAATCCTTGACAGTTGGAATTCAATGAGAGAAGGCAGAAATGCAGCTGTCTGGACAAAATTCTTCTTGTGGCACACTGCATGGTGTATACCCATCTCTATCAGTCCCATTTGTGCAGAAGTAGAACGTCAAGCCCCCATTTCATTTCATGCAATTACAACTTTGATGAAGACATTGTTATGTAGGTTATTACTTCAAATCAGCCTGATTTCTTTTGTTTTTCATGATGTAATTCATCCATCAAAATAGTTGAGATCTTAAAGTAATCCCTTTGTTATCTCCCTTGACACAGCAAATTATAGTTCAAATCATTTTCAACAATCTTCTTCCAAAAAACATTTACTTTTCTATATTAAAGTTAGTCTTTTCTATATTAAATATATCAGGGACTTTGAGTAGTTGTACACTTTAGAGTAAAGTGGCTTGTATGTGTCACATGATGAAGGGTCACCTGTCCAACTTCAGGTCCTCCCTTTTCCTACCACAGTTAAAGACCCTTACATGCAAGTGATTTATTGAAATAAAATTGTACCATATGTTAGTCCCGAAATGACCTATTTGTGTGGAGTGGATGTTAAACCATATTCCTCTCACATTAAATTTAATCTAGAGTTAGAAATGAAATAAAATGAAATGGAGTTTAACGTCCTACTGTTCTGCTCCTATACTGGGCTAATGAAGACGGGCATACGCCATACAGTGTGCTATGAGGGAAATTTTGCCCGGGCAGCGGCGCTACGGCCTACTCTTATATCGAATTCCAACTGCCAAGGGATCTTTTACGTGCATGCCAATATGTACACGGGACCTCGGTCTTCGTCCCATCCGAACGACTAGACAGCTATCCTTGTCAGGCCCTCAGTCCTGCATCACTGACAAGGGGGAACCACGCCGGCCAATGCAGGGATCGAACACCCGACCTCCAGGCTAGCGAGCCAGCGTCTTACCCACTTAGCCACATGATCCCCCTAATCTAGAGTCAGAGTGCAACATATAATAAAACTTACTCAGTAAAAAGTCCTGCCCACTGTTTAGATGCGTAGTCCATAATCTATAAAAATATACAGTATAAAAGCAATCTGATTACAACACAGATCCTATTTTGTTTCATTTTTATAATTCAAAATTTCGTTTTACTTGTCTGTACTACACTAGGATCTGGAAGAGTTGTACTGGATGATATGAGGGTTTAGCCAATGAAACCATCTGTTACGGCGACTTCTTGGCGTGCGTTGCCCGGAACTGTGGGTATCCCTCTAGAAACATCAATGCTGATTGATTAATCAAATGTCTGATGTCATAGGGTCAAAAGCCGCTTGTATCGAAAATATAAAAAAATGAAACGAAATATAGATCTGTATTTTAATCTGATTGTGTTTCCTTGAGAATAATTACACGTCAGTCATCGTTGAGTAAGGCACTGGCTCACTCATCAGGTGGTCAGGGTTTGATCCTAGTGTTTACTGAGAAAGTTCCTCAGAATTTTCCAGCCTATACTAATTTCCGCTTGTCGGAGGTACAGGGCAGGGGGATCGGGCAAGGACAGGTGTCTAGTAGTTCAGTAGTTACTTTAGTAACAGATTCTTATCGGCTCTGCTCTCTATCCGTTACTACATGACACCTATACATAACTAGTATGAAAATAGGGCCTTCCCCGCTGTGACTCTTCTTTATTCACCAAAAGGAATCATTTCTTGTCACATCCGACACAAATTTATAATAATCCAACACAATCATCATGTAGAATATAGCGATCATAAAATACAAGCAAGATTTGTTTGAATTGATCCGCCATTATGAAACTCACGCCTGCGAAGACCAGAGGTCACAGGTTCGTGGCATGAGCTTAGCCAATATTATAAATCTAGGAATGGATAGTTACCGTAAACGAAAAAATTTTCTGTACTTTAATTAACGGACAAAGCTGTGAATATTGATACCACTAAGAATCCATTACTAAAGTAACTAGTAGTTCGGATGATCCAATAAATACCATTGGAAGTACATTAAATATCACCAGGCAGGCTTGAAATCTAAATAAGAACAGGCCGTAGCCCCACTGCCAGGGCAAAATTACCCTAATATGCCCGTCTTCATTAACCCAGTTGTTGCAGTAAATGAAAATGCTAAATGCTTCATTTCTTACCTCTCCATTTGGTCCCCATAACGTAATTTGATTACGAGCATTATATTCATACAGAGTTGATTCATTCGCATCAGTTGCCCAGGCTTTAGCATCACCAATCCAGTTAGACAGAAGAAAATGTGTATCAGATGCCAACAGAAGGTCTACATCTGTTAATAGTTTTATAAACTTGTCACGTGAATTTCTGTCAAATAAACAAATAGGTATAATTTATCATCATATATGGTTACAAGTCATTATCTCTAACTTACTAATTTAAAAAATAATTAAGTAACATAATGTAATCTTATTACTCGGTTGTCTGACTCCATATATAGGCCTATTTTGTTAGGGTGACCCGTGCACTTTACAGAAAGTTGGTCTCGACACGGCTAAATGTGCACGCTTCAGTTGCGTGTCTCGAACTGATTTCTGACTACCCCGCACTCACTTTGAGTCGATAAATAGCCATGGCATGTGCAATTCTCTACAAATATATCAACTTTTACAGCCGTAAAAAAGCTATTGGTGACGATTTTGAATAGCAGTAAAATTTGCCTTTATGGTTATTACAGCAGCTTTAGTAATTACGTTTGTTTTATTTTTTAAATTGCTTTATCATTAACTGTACCGTTAAGAGCGGCATCTTTTGGTTTAGTACAAATACTATCTCTGAATCACTTTCTTTAGCAGGAACATGATACTAGCAGTAGTTTCATTTTACTTTTACAAGTTTCTTAAAACAATTGTTGAGTTGTCTAAAGTGCTTATTTCTAAATTCAATTTCTTGTTTTAGCTTTCTGTTATGTTTCGTAAAAAAGTAGTCTTGATTATCCCGACCTGTCAATCAGACGTAGAATGGTCGATAGACTGGTTAAGCGAGACTAATTTCAAAACAAGGGCACGTAACCTATCTTTTACTCAAAAGTGTCTGGATGTTATGGACGCAACTTGGAACCAGTTTTCAGTCTATTATTTATAGATGATTAATGGTCATAGCTTATTAAGTACAACATGATCGTTTATTTAGTGACTATAATTGTGTGAAACTGATTTGAGGCTTGGCATATATATAAATATTGTGGCGTAATTGTCGAGATATTTGGAGATATTTATTTATGGTGGGTCACCCTAATTTTGTACTATAGTTACTTCCCATTACTTGGAATAAACATGGCTCCTTAAATACATTTGTTTACATTGCTCAGCCCTAATCCCAATCTGATTAAAATACAGATCTATATTTCGTTTCGTTTTTTATACTTTCGATGGCCTACACTACATGAAGATCTGACAAGTTATAGCGATAGGTCACGTCAGGGGTCAAAAGACCGACTTATGACCCTATGACATCAGACATTTGAATAACCAATCAGCATTGATGTTACTAGTGGATTACCCACAGTTCCGTGAAAACACACCTAAAGCTCGCCGTAACAGACTGTTTCATTGGCTTATATATACCTGACACCAATCAGAACACAAGGTAAATAACAACTCTTCCAGATCCAAGTGTAGTAAAGACAAGTAAAACGAAATATTGAACTATAAAAACGAAAAACGAAATAGGATCTGTGTTTTAACCAGATTGCCCTCATCCTGAACCATCTAGCCTACAAGATGAAACAGTAATATGCCCATTTTGCATCATTATGTTGTAGCATTGGGTTGTATGTGGTGATATTGGGGTGGTATTGGTGTAGTATTGGGTAGTATTGGTAAATCGTCTCACCCATTTAACGACCTTCTTTTGTGGGCAAGCACCATGGAGTTGCTAGAGAGGAAATGATGCTGTGATAGTGCTACAGTATACTCTGATTTCAATCTCAAACTACCAGGCTGGAATATTATTATAAAGCTGTGCTATTTTATACTTACTGTAAAGCTGTGATATTTTATACTTATTGTAAAACTGTTTATACTTACTGTAAAGCTGTTATATTTTATACTTATTGTAAAACTGTTTATACTTACTGTAAAGCTGTTATATTTTATACTTACTGTAAAGCTGTTTATACTTACTGTAAAGCTGTTTATACTTATTGTAAAGCTGTTTATACTTATTGTAAAGCTGTTTATACTTACTGTAAAGCTGTTATATTTTATACTTACTGTAAAGCTGTTTATACTTACTGTAAAGCTGTAATATTTTATACTTACTGTAAAACTGTGATATTTTATACTTACTATAAAGCTGTTATATTTTATACTTACTGTAAAGCTGTTATATTTTATACTTACTGTAAAGCTGTTATATTTTATACTTACTGTAAAGCTGTTATATTTTTTATCTTATAAGCCGTGAGTATATCAGAATACATCTTCATAGAAATAACTTGTAAACTATTCCTGGTGATATCAACTAAATCATATCTGTAACATAATAAGGGCCATACTATATACCGGAAAACACCGGAAAACACAGGAAAACAACCGGAAAACAACGGAAAACAACCGGAAAACACCATTTTATACTGAATACCGGAAAACACCGGAAAAGCACTAAATACCGGGAAACATCCTAAATACCGGAAAACACCCTAAATAGGTAACCCGGAGCCTGGTCCTCTGTGTGCGGTTTTGGACCAAGTGAGCGCCGATGAAGGAAGGTCAAGGTCATTACGATGTTCGTTTTACAAATAGCCCCCACCCCACCCCCCAAAATAATCCGATTTTTTTTTCTCCAAAATTTTTTTGACGAAAAAATTTTCTGTCACAAAAAAAAAAAAAAAATTGGTTTTACAAAAAAACATTCCGTGAAAATAATTTTACAGAGAAAAATACTGGAAAAAAATTTAGAATTTTTTTTTGAGAGAAATTTTGGAGAAGAAATTGTTTAAAAAAATCTGAAAATTCCGATTTTTTTTTCTCCAAAATTTTTTTGACGAAAAAAAATTTCTGTCACCAAAAAAAAATTCGAATTTTTCCGAAAAATTGGTTTTACAAAAAAACATTCCGTAGAAAATAATTTTACAGAGAAAAATACTGGAAAAAAATTTAGAATTTTTGGGGGAGAGAAATTTTGGAGAAGAAATTGTTAAAAAAAATCTGAAAAGAAATTTTTCTTTGACCGTAGGCGATTTTTTTTTCTCCAAAATTTTTTTGACGAAAAAAAATTTCTGTCACAAAAAAAAAATTCGAATTTTTCCGAAAAATTGGTTTTACAAAAAAACATTCCGTAGAAAATAATTTTACAGAGAAAAATACTGGAAAAAAATTTAGAATTTTTGGGGGAGAGAAATTTTGGAGAAGAAATTGTTAAAAAAAATCTGAAAAGAAATTTTTCTTTGACCGTAGGCGATCGCTCGCTTGTATGTTAATGAACTTATTTCATCAGCGCCCACCTGGTCCAAAACCACACACGAGGACCGGAAAACTTAGAAGAGTAAACTGTGCTCGAGATTTTTTTAGAGAGCGCGCCGCTTCGGGAGGGATCATCGTCAGACTTGGACGGGGGTGGAATTGTCCAGTCACGTGACGAACATAGATCTCGCGTTCCTCAAGCCATATTATTTCTACAGTCATTGTCATTAATCACAAATTACGGGATGATATTCGAAAATGCAGGTTTACTTTGAAATAGTGCAAATGATACTTTTCCATCTACAATCTTCAGGTCAAAGGATGCAAGTTCTTACACAGTGCAGTATAATTTGTGCAACAGAAGACATCTCGAATATCGTTTGTCGGAAAAAACATTTTCTCAGGGACATTTTTTTCCGAATACGCATTCTTCAGCCACCAGGAGGTGGATAACATAGTAATGTTTTATTACGATAGTAGTACATAAAACAAATTGGTTGCCTGAGGTTCTGGGAGAAAGTAGCCTCATCGGCTAGAGTCCTCTATTTCACAAACAAAAACAACAATTCATTCCTTGAAAATTTATCGATCAACCCTTTTTACAGACGTCCAGCTTACCACTTCCCGTCAATGTAGTAAGATAGAATATGTACTTTTCTCATGGACAATTGGGCGAAAGTTGGGGTTTTCTCAAGGAAAACTGGTCAACAAGTTGCAGAAAAAAGCTCGAAAAGTAATCCAGAAAAAAAATCATGTGTGCGGCCCTCGGAATATGATGGAATATGTTGAATATTATTATGATTCAAGTGATTATATTTGATCCTGGAATGAAAGTAAGCTCAGAAACAAGTAGATTTTTAGCCCTTCCAACGAGATGGATAGCTCTTGGAAAGGATAGACACTTTTCAGATTACAGCCTGTCCAAGAATTGCGTGGCATCCATTTCGTTTGGTGATTAGGACACATAGCGGTTAAACCTTGAACTTCAACTCGAACTATTCAGAGATTTATTAACTCGCTTTTGATGATACTTGCTGTTTTATGATGCGATTTTTTTTGTTACCTAGGGAGGAGTTGGCCTAGTCGCGCCTTCCACTAATTAGTACCACCCTGATTCCAGCGTTACTGGTAAGAATCAGGAGACCGGCGCAACCGGCATATAATGGGGCCCTCCGAGGGCAGTTTTTAACCTACTGACATACTGAAACACTGAAATTTACTGAAATTTACTTAAAACAAAAATTAAAATACAAAATATAATATGGTCAATGATGGAGGTAGACTGATTGCGTCTTTTAAAACATTCAAAACATAATAGGCATCAACAAAAGTTTGGAGAAAAAAAAATCGGAAATTTTTTTTTTTTTTTTGAGGGGGGGTGGCTATTTGTAAAACGAACATCGTAATGACCTTGACCTTCCTTCATCGGCGCTCACTTGGTCCAAAACCGCACACAGAGACCAGGCTCCGGGTTACCTATTTAGGGTGTTTTCCGGTATTTAGCATGTTTTCCGGTATTTAGTGTTTTTCCGGTGTTTTCCGGTATTCAGTATAAAATGGTGTTTTCCGGTGTTTTCTGGTTGTTTTCCGGTGTTTTCCGGTTGTTTTCCTGTGTTTTCCTGTGTTTTCCAGTATATAGTATTGCCGCATAATAATATTATCATCACTTGATAGAAATAACCTGTAGAATATCAACTAAATCCTATCTATAACAAATCAATCTGATTATACTCTCGATAGCCAACACTACATGAAGATCTGACCAGTTGTAGTGGGAGGTTGCGTCAGGAGCCATACGAGCGGCTTTTGACCCTATGACGTCAGGTACTTTATTAACTAATCAGCATTGATGTTTGTAGTGGGTTACCCACAGTTCCGTGCACCCCATGCCAAGAA